TGTGGCTCAGTGGTTGAGCACCGACCTATGAACCAGGAAGTCACAGTTTGATTCCTGGTCAGGGCATATGCCTGGGGTCGCAGGCTCCATCCCCAGTGTGGAGCCTGCAGGAAAAGCCGATCAATAATTCTCTCTCATCACTGACGTTTCCCTCTCTGTAATCAATAAAATATATTTAAAACAAAAGCAAAATGCCCACCACTCCCAAGTACACAGGAAACTTGAGTGCTCCAGTGTTACACCCTGAGGCCTCCAAGCGCGGTCCAGAGTGGACTCCAGGGTGCGTACCTCCTCTTCTTCACTGGCCTTCGCAGCGAGTCTCCAGCAGGTGATGGTGACAATGGGGAGTAAGCTCTCCCTTATGTGCAGTGTGGAACAAACCAGTGAGTAGAAGATGGATGTCAGAAACAAACTGTGAAGCACTTGTGATTTTTTTTTTTAAAGAAATTAAGCCCCCACCCCCAACCTCCTTTTTAAAAGACTGATTGTATTCCTCCATAAACAAGTTAGTGGCAGCTTTAGATTTGACCAGTGGCATTGCTCCTGGTATCAGTAAGGACCGATGCCTAGTCAGTCCTCCTTTCCTCACTAGGGGACTGACTGGAAGGGGGAATGGACACCTTCTCAGGGAACCCGAAGCCCCATCCTGGCTCGGCCGAGCTGGACAGGTCCAGACAAGCACAGCCGACCTTATGGCACAGCAGGTCCCTTCTCAGCGAGGTCCTCCCGACTCCAAGCCCCCCTGACGAGCACACAGCACTAAGCCGCAGGCACAGGCGGGTGCGGAGAGGGTCGGATGCTAGGCCTCCCTCTTGCAGCCAGGTACTTAGAGCCCAGCATGGGGAGGTCCCCTCACCATCCCTCCCAGGGCTCCCTACCGTCACTGAAGCCAGGAGGCGGCGGCAGGTGGTGAGCGCCAGGTTGGAAGTGGTGTGGGAGAAGGGGAAGAAGTCCCGCAGCCTCCCGAGCTGCAGCACGACTTCCTGCAAAGCGCCACGGAGCTCCACCGGCTCAAAGCGGGGATGGGGATGGCAGGGAAGGTGGGTGGCGGCTGGGCCCGCCCACCTGTGGCAGGAGCCGCCTGCTTAAGGTGAGCAGCCCCTTCGCCTTAATGAGATAAGGACACATATGTGATAACTTAATCAATAAAGAAAAGAAGGAGAAAAAATCGTGGAGGGGGAAGCGCCTCCCTGCGGCCCAGCGTTGCGGCCCCTCCCCGCGCCCGGTTCCCGTCCGGGGCAGAGCTCCCCACCCACAGGCCGTTCAAGCACCTACTCTACTCGCTGGGCAACCCCCAGGGAGAGAACCAGTGAGTCCCGCCTCGGGCCTCGTGCGGGGACCACCCGGGGCTCTGCCCGGCCTCCCGGGCGCGGCTCACCTGAGCGCGGGTGCAGGTGGGGCCGGCCGCGTCCCGAGCGCGCGTGAAGCGGGGGATGCGCGTGCTCCCGGGAGGGCCCCGTCGCGGGGACCGGGACCTGGGGGTGGCCGCCCCGCCACAGGCCCAGGGCCAGGTGGAGGTGGGCGACCAGCCGGCGCTCGCTCCGGGGGCCCACCGAGTCGCTCAGCCGCAGCGAGCGCGGGGACTCCGGCGGTGCCGTGGGGGCGGCGGCGGGGCCTGCGGCTCGCGGGGTCCGCGCAGCCCGCCCCCCGGGCCTCCCCCTGGACGGCGCGGGGAACCTTCCTTCTCCGAGGCGGCGGGGGACGGAGCCTAGCGGCCAATGAGATCGGACGCCCGTCCGGCGGCTCCTCCGACGGCGGGGACCGTGCGCCCGAAGCCATCGCGAGCGCGAGTCCTCGGTCCGGAGCGGCTGCCCCGGCCTTTTATCACGCGGCGCCCTGGCTGCCCGGGGCAGGCGGGCTCAGCGGGCCCAGCGCAGCCTCACCTGGCGCGGCGGGTGCGGAGCCCGCCCCTCCTTGGCACGGGCTCCTGCGGCGAGGGACGCCCACCGGGGACCCGGCCGGACCGGGCGCGCCTCTTCCCGCCCGAAGCCCCTGCCCCACGCTGTCTCCAGCCGGGATGGGGCAGCTGGTGACCCCGCGGGCCCGGGAGAAGGACGCCGGCCACATACCTGCTTCTTTCCTTAGACAGGCTTGCGAGGAGTTCTGACTCATAGTGTGACCTCGTGCAAGCGACTTGACCTCCCAGAGCCTCGACCACCTCTCTCCCCCCCCCCCGCCCCCACAAAAAGCGATGATCTCCCTTACAAAATCGTTCATTCATGCATCCCAGTTTCCCGTTGAGCAATATTTATTTAACACCTACAGTATCTTAGGCGCTGGGCCATAACAATGAATAAAATAGACATGCCCGCGTAGACTGTAGTCCGGAAATACAGAGAATACATGGAAGCCGCACAGTCTCACTCCCAAGGATATGCCCAACAGAGATGCACATGTGTGCACAAAAGACACCCGCTAATGTTCAGAGCAGCACTATTTGTAATAGCCCCAAACTGATACAACCCAAATGTTCATCAATAGTTGAATCAGATAAATTGTGGCCTATTCACACAATGGTATATCCATACAATGGAATATTATTCAGCCATAAAAAATAATGACTGAGCCCTAACCAGTTTGGCTCAGTGGATAGAGCATTGGCCTGCGGACTGAAGGGTCCCGGGTTCGATTCCGATCAAAGGCATGTACCTTGGTTGCGGGCACATTCCCAGTAGGGGGCGTGCAGGAGGCAGCTGATCGATGTTTCTCTCATTGATGTTTCTAACTCTCTATCCCTCTCCCTTCCTCTCTGTAAAAAAATCAATAAAATGTACTTTTTAAAAAATAATGACTGATACATGCTACAATAGGGACGGAGCTTGAAAACATTCTAAGTGGTAGAAGCCATTCATAAAAGGCCACAAACTCTATAATATCACTTATATGAAATATCCAGAATAGGCAAATTTATAGACAGAAAGTAGATTGGTATTTGCCTAGGGCTGGGATGTTGGTGAGGGGGGCAGGGCAAGTGAGGGTAACTGCTATGAGTATAGAGTTTCTTTTTAGGGTGATGGAAATGTTTAAAATTGATTGTGGTTATGGTTGCACAACTCTCTATATAGCATAAACTATGGAGTTGTACAATTTAAATAGATGAATTATGTGATATGTGATGATATTCTCAATAAAGCTGGAGATATATATATAGTGTGTCAGATGATGTAAGTACTATGGGAAGAGCCGGAAGGGGAGATAAGACTGGAGTGGAAGGTTGGAATTTTAAAATAGATGGTAGTAGGGCTCACTGAGGTGATGTGTGAGCAGATATTCTGAAGGAGGTTACGGGGTCAGGCAGATATCCAGGGGGAGAGCTTTTCAGGGCCTCCGTTTGGATCTGAGCTTTGTCGCTGCCCGTATGTATAACCTTGGACAAATTACTTACTTGGCGCTGTGCCTCAGTTTCTTTATCTGTAAAATAGCTATTCCCATTTTCTTTAAAAATAACCAGTATACCTAGTTCAAAAGGTTATTATGTGAATTAAATTAATTTTTTAAAAGAAAGTAAAGTAATTAGAACAGTACACTGGCACGAAATATAATGCTTCATAGCTATTTTTATTAGTTCCTACTGCAAGTGCAAAAGCCCTTGTATTCTAAGGTAGAAGCAAAGCATGCCTGTGATGACATGAATCAAGGAGGCCAGGTGGGACTGGTGCAGACACTGAGCAAGGGGAAGATTGTAGGACATGGGAAGAAGGTTTGTAACATTTACACTGTGAGATGGAAAGTCATTGACAGGTTTTGAACAGAGGAAAGACACTATCTGATTCATGTTTTAAGATTATCGCTCTGGCTCCTGTGTTGAAAACAGACTAAGAGGGGATAAGAATGCATGCAAGGAAAGCAGTTTCTGAGCCGTTGTAGCAATACAGATGAGCAATGGTGCCAGTGGTGAAAGATGGTCAGACTCTGGTTCTACCTTTGAAGATACAGACAACAAGCTCTGGATATTGGGCATGAGAGAAAGAGACTGGTTTTGACCCAAACAACTGTCAGAATTCTGGTTACATTTGTGATGAGGTAAGTTCTCTGACGTTTGGTGGGAGGCAGGTAGGAGTGGTAGGGATGCATACTCGGGGAGGGATGGAAGTCAACCTTTCAATTTTGGACACAATAAATTTGAAATGCCTATTACATATCCAAGGGGAGTGGTGTTCAGGGGAGAGGTTCAAATAAGAAAGATGATAGGTGGATCATTAATTCGTTAATAAAAATATATTGAAAACCTACCCTGTGCCAGGTCCTATTCTAGGTCCCATTCTAAGTTTTGGAGATACTAGTGAGGATGTTGACAAAACACCTCACGACCTCACCTTCTAATGGTGAGAGATCATAAACAAGTCATCAATCAATCGCAGTAATGTATCTAAAGTCTTTAGCTCTTCAGATGGGGGCACAATGTACAATTGCTATTGGGGTTTTTCTTTTCGTGTTTTTTAAAAAAATCCTCACCAGAGGATATTCCTCCCATTGATCGAGAGAGAGGAGAGAGAGAGAGAGAGACAGAGAGAGAGAGAGAGAGAGAGACAGAGAAGAAAGAGAGAGAAGAGAGAGAGAGAGAAGAAAGAGAGAAGAGAGAGAGAGAGAGAGAGAGAGAGAGAGAGAGAGAGAGAGAGAGAGAGAGAGAGAGAGATGTGAACAGGGGGCCGGGAATTGCAACCGAGGTACGTGCCCTTTATCGGGAATTGAACCCACGACCCTTCGGTCTGCGGGCCGACGCTCCAAACACTGGGCCAAACCGGCCAGGGCTGCTAGTGTTTTTTTAAATATTGGAGTATTGCAAGAGCCAGAAGATGGGGCTTGGGTTGGAAACGCCTCCTTTTCCCAACTAGTGACAGCCAGCCATCCCCGCCCCGAAACGAGCCAGAATTGTAGCGCTGCGGAATGGCCGCATTGCGCAGGCGCAGTCTGTCTGGCGTCCTAGGAGACGGACTGGAAAGCCTCTGCGCAGGCGTAATTCAAGCGGCGGAGGAAGCCCGAGGCCAGGGAATCGGGCGGGGCGAGCCCGGGGTGCGCCTGCGCACAGCGCACTCTCGCCCGGAGCCGCAGTCTCGGGAGCGCCAAGGCGGTTTTTCAGTCATCTTCGGCCAGCCGGTCCCGGGAACCCCGCGTCGTTGGACTGCACCCTGGGCCGGACGTCCACGGGCAGGGGAGAGAGCCACAATGCCGGTGAGGAGAATGGCTCAGCCGCTGTGGTTCTTCAGCTCCGCGGCCTGGCCCGGGGGTGCGGCCGTTGCCATGGAGGCGCGGAGCAGGCTGGCGGGCGGCCGGGGTGGGGCGGGGCAGGCCCGGCCCAGCCCCAGGTCCCGGGTCCCGGGTCCCGGGCGGTTGGGGAGCCTGGTGGGTGGGCCTGGGCTGCGCGGGCCTCCTCCTGCCCTTGGGAGGGACCGGGGCCAGCTCTGCTACCTTTGTCGCTGCTGCATCCCGCGGGGCCTGCGCTGCTGGAATGGAGGCGCTGTGCCAGAGGATGCGCTCTGGCTTTCAGCTCTGCCCGCTGGGTTGGGCATCTGGGAGCGGCCACAGAGAGTCGGTTTTGGATGCTCCGCACACCATAGGATCTCCACCGCGGAGCCAGGCTCCGGAAGGCAGCAGAGCGAGGGCTGCCTGCCCCTACTCCAGGCCCCTGAATCGAGCTGTCATTTCTCTTGGGGCGCCTTGGCTTACAGTGCAAGAATGTAACCCCTAGGTGTCTTTGTGTGTGAGGGGGTGGGGGGTGGTACCCTTGTCTTGTGCACTTAGGAAAGGGGTGACCGTAGTCCAGTATAGGATCAGAACACCTGAGCCATGGCCGGTTATTTGATTGTTACGAGGCCTTGGACAATTTAATCTTTCTGAGCCCTTAGTTCCCACATAATTTTACTTTTCCTCATGGGGTTGTTATCAGGATGAAATAAGATACTGCTCAGGAGAAATAAAGGACAGTGCTTGCCACTTAGCATTAAATACTCAATATTTGTTCCTTGTTGCTTTCAAATTGTTTATCAATCCGTTGAATAAATATTGGGCACCAACCACATGGTGGGCACCAGAGATGCGATATTGAGCAAAACCAGCCTGGTTCTTGACCTTGGAAAGAGAGAAGCTTGTCTTCTTGGGCGGAGGTCAAAACCATACATGTTTATAGAGACAAGCCACTTAACATTAATGAAGTCAGTTGGTGGCATACAATAGAAGTAGGTTCTGATTGATTAAGTGTTGCTATGTAGGAATGCTGGCTTACAGATGTCAGATCATCTATTTTTTTTTTTTCAAGAGAATCTGTAATTGTTATTTTGTGAAATTTTTCAATTTTTAACTTTTAGCAACGAAATAAAAATTAATATTTTTATTAGTTTCAGAAAGGAAAGGAGAGGGAGAGATAGAAATATCAATGATGAGAGAGAATCATTGATCGGCTGCCTCCTGCACACTCCACAATGGACCTGGCATGGACTGGACATTGAACCGTGACCTCCTGGTTCATAGGTTGACTCTCAACCACTGAGCCACACTGGCCGGGCCGAGAGATTTTTTAAATATACTATGAGCCAAACAAAAGACATCTGTGGGTTGAATTCAGCCCCTTGACGACCTGTTTGCAACCTCTGGTGTAGGCAGAGAAAAACAGACACTAATTAAATAATGAGTAATCAAAAGTGTAATTGTAACCGGATGCAAAAGTGAGAAGTGCTCTCAGGGCCTACACAGGCATGCCTTGTGTTATTGCTGTTTATTGCGTTTCACAGATGTTTTGTGTTTTTACAAATTGAAGGCAAGACCTTCCACCAGCAAAAAGATGATGACTCCTATTGCATTACTCTCTTTATTACATTACTCCATTTATTATTGTGGTTTGGTATTGAACTTGCAGTATCGCTGAGGTATGCCTGTACAAGGATTTGACCTACTCAGAAGTCTGCCCAGGTGAAGTGACTTTTGAGCTGAGACCTGCAGTATAAATGAAGAGGGGAGTGAGGGATGTTCTAGACAGAAGGAACTACACGTAAAAAGGTCTGTGGTGAGAGGGACCATGGTGACAATAAAAGGCCTAAAAGAAAGCCACTGTGGCTGTGGCTAAGAGAGCCAAGCACGGTAACTTGTGAAAGAAGATAGGAGAGGTAGACATGGGCCAGAGCCAGATCTTACCTTAAGGATTTTTAAAAAATATATTTTATTGATTTTTTACAGAGAGGAAGGGAGAGAAATAGAGAGTTAGAAACATCGATGAGAGAGAAACATCGATAAGCTGCCTCCTGCACATCTCCTACTGGGGATATGCCCGCAACCCAGATACATGCCCTTGACCGGAATCAAACCTGGGACTTTTCAGTCTAAAGGCCGATGCTCTATCCACTGAGCCAAACCGGTTTCGGCAAGGATTTTTATTTTTATCCTAAGATTTGTGGGAAACCATTGAAGAGTTTTAAGTAGATTGCTTCTCTAGTGCATCGAAGAGTATCAAATAGTAGTCATACTAAAACATTTTTCTCTGCTGCCATTTTCCCCCTTTTGTCTTTCATTTATTGTCGTCTTCTATAAAGAAAATAGACTATATATGGATGTATTATATGATAAAAAACATTTTACTAATTCATTATAAAAAAATAAAAGTCTCAGGAGAACAGAAGACCTGCTACCTACTATATTCTTGATGATTAAAGTTGTTCATTTTGTTCACATGTGTTTCCTACAGGTAGGAAACTCAGGAATTCCGGGACTTTTGTGCAGAATGACAATAACATACTGATTCATTTCTGCTTGAGTAGCATTTACTATAAATGTAAAGTTTATTTTCCCTCCGCTCATTTGTATTGTAAAAGAAACTTTTCTTTTTCACATTTTTAAGTACACTTTTTCTATTAGCTGTAAGATGTTGAACTGCATTTAACAGATGTTTATGGAGTACTTACATGTGCAAGGCACTGAGATGGCATAGTCACCTTTTTCAAATTTTAAACTTAATCTGTTGAAGGTAAATGTAAATGTTCTTTTCATGTAAATATTTTCTCCACCAGATCAATAAGTCAGAGAAGCCAGAAAGCTGTGATAATGTGAAGGTGGTTGTGAGGTGCCGACCCCTCAATGAGAGAGAGAAGTCCATGTGCTACAGACAGGCTGTCAGTGTGGATGAAATGAGGGGAACTATCACTGTACATAAGACCGATTCTTCCAATGAACCTCCAAAGACATTTACTTTTGATACAGTTTTTGGACCAGAGAGTAAACAACTTGATGTTTATAACTTAACTGCAAGGCCTATTATTGATTCTGTTCTTGAAGGCTACAATGGTGAGTACTTTGTATAGTTCTTTCTTTAAAAACAACTTTATTTTGGTATTATTAGTAACCCATAAATTCACTTATTGCAATTATAGTTTGATGAGTTGTAGTGAACACATACAGTTGTGAAACTAGCACACAATTCAATTTATCACCCCCAAAAGTTCCTTTATATTCATTTACAGTCCCACCCCCAGGTAGCAATTGACTTGCTTTCTATTTATGGTTTCACCTTTACTCAGAATGTCATATAAATCAAACCCTACACTGTCATCTTTCTTATCTATTTTCTTTTATTTGGCATACTTTTTTTGAGGGTCATTCATGTTGTAGCATCTATCAGTAGTTTGGCTCTTTTTTATTGCTGAATATATCACCTTTTATGATCTTTGATGGAAATCTGGATTCCAATTTTTTGGCTATTATATAAAATGCTGCTATGAGCATTCCTTTTAAGGCTTTGTACAGATACATTTTAAGGTTTTTCTTGGGTAGATACCTAGGAGTGGAATTGCTGGGTTGTATGGTTAATGTATATTTATTTTATTTTTATGAAGTCTGTATTATAATTAATTGGGAGAGTAGTAACAACTTGTTTGGCCAATTTTTTCCCATTAAAATTTTTTTATTTTTCAATTACAGTTGACATACATTATTATGTTAGCTTCAGGTGTGCGCCCCAATGATTAGACATTACATAACTTACTAAGTGATCACCCTCATAAATTTAGTACCCAGTGACATCATACATAGTTATTAGAATATTATTGACTATATTCCCTATGCTGTATTTTATACATACCCGTGACTATTCTGTAACAACCAATTTGTACTTCTTAATCCCTTTTTTCACCTATCCCCTTAACCCCCTGTCCATCTGGCAACTGTCAAAATGTTCTCTGTGAGTCTGTTTAGTTCTCTGTGAGTATCAGTGAGTCTGTTTCAGTTCTGCTTGTTTGTTTGTTCTTCAGATCAGTTAGTGTATCCTTCATTTCTTTTTTTTTTTTAAATATTTTTATTGATTTCAGAGAAGAAGGGAGAGGGAGAGAGAGATAGAAACATCAGTGGTGAGAGAGAATCATTGATGGGCTGCCTTCTGCACGCCCCACACTGGGGATCGAGCCCACAACCCGGGCATGTGCCCTGACTGGGGATCGAACTGTGACCTCCTGGTTCATAGGTCGACGCTCAACCAAGTGCCATAAAAGCAGAGCCGAAGAAAGTAGGAATCTACCCACGTGGATAGCTGAGAGAAGTACATTCTAAGCAGAGGAACAAACAAGCACAAAGCCCCATAAGCAGAAATGTGCTTGGTGTGTTCCAGGAATGAGAAGAGGCCAGAGGATTTGGCATCAAGTGAACAAACCCAAGTGTGTTAGACAAGGTCAGAGCGGTAAATGGGCAGAGCAGCTCATGTGGGTATTATAGGCTGGAGAAAGGACCCTGGCTCTTCCTTCCCTGTGAGTGAGATTCTCCTATGTTTTTATCTACAAGTTGTAAACATTTTAGGTCTTACATTTAGGTCTGTCATCCATTTTGAGTTTTTGTATGTGATGTGAAGTAAGAGTCTAGTTCTTTCCCTATTTTTTTCCTTCTTGCCTGTGGATATCCAGTTGTTCCAGCACCATTTGTTGAAAAGGCCATCCTTTCCTTTGGAACTAACTTGGTTCTTTTGGTAAAAATGAAGGGACCACAAATGTGTGGGCTTATGTTGGATTGTCTATTCTATTCCACGTATATCCTCTTTTGATTACTGCAGCTTTATAATGTTTTGAAATTAGGTAATATATGATCTCTAACTTTATTCTTTTTCAAAATTATTGTGTGTTTTTTCTGGTGTCCTTTGCATTTTCATATAAATTTTAGGATCACCTTGTCAAATTCTACCAAAGTAACCTGGGATTTTGTTGAATTGTTATTCTGACAATGTTGTAGTCTTCTGGTCCAGGAACATGATATATTTGTCCATTTATTATGTCTTGTTTAATTTCTTATATCAGTATTTTTATAGTTTTAATAAATTTGTTTTTAATTATTTTTTTGATACTTTTGTGAATAGAACTGTTCTTATAATTTCATTTTTGGAATTATGCATTGTGAATGTATAGAAATGCACTTGATTATTTTAGTAGGGTTTTTTTTTTATTGAGATAACAATTCAAATAACATAAAATTTACTACTTTAACCACTTTACAGTGTACAAGTCAGGTTTTCAGCACCTTCATAGTGTTGTGCAATTGTTACCATTATCAGTTTCCAGACATTTTCATTACCCCCCAAAAAAGAAACTTTTATCCGTATTAGTAGTTACATCTAATTCTGCTCTCTCCTACTCTGCAACAACTTATTACTTTCTGTGTGTATGAGTTTGCCTGTTCTGGGCATTTCATATAAATAGAATCACACACTACATCGTCTTTTGTGTCTGACTCCTTAGCATGTTTTCAGTGTTCATCCTTATTGTATGTATCAGTACTTCATTCTTTTTATGGCAAAATAATATTCCATTGTACGGATATAGTATATTTTGTATATTCATTTATCAGTTGATGAACAATTATTTTCATTTTTTGGCTATTATGAAGAATATTACTATGAACATTCTTGTACAAGTTTTTGTGTGAACATGTTTTCAGTTCTTTTATGTATATGTTACCTGGAGTGGAATTGCTGGGTCAAAAAGTTAACTGCCAGACTTTTCCATAGTGGCTGCACCATTTATGTACCCACCAACAATGTATGAGGTTCCTAATTTCTCCACATCTTTGACAAAACTTGTTATTTGTCTTTTTTATTGTAGCCATGCTAATATTATGAAGTGGTATCTCATTGTATTTTGCAGTTTATTTTTTAAAAACTATTGTATACTGCAACCTTGCTAAACTTATTATTTCTAGTAGACTATCATTACTATTATTATTTTATTATATTTATGTAAATTCCTTAGGATATTCTACAGACACAAGAGCATGTTGTTTGCAAATAAAGATAGTTCAACCAATTTCTTTCCTATTCTTTTTTTAAAAATATATTTTATTGATTTTTTACAGAGAGGAAGGGAGAGGAATAGAGAGTTAGAAATATCGATGAGAGAGAAACATCAATCAGCTGCCTCCTGCACACCTCCCACTGGGGATGTGTCCGCAACCAAAGTACATGCCCTTGACTAGAATCAAACCCGGGATCCTTCAGTCCGCAGGCCGATGCCCTATCCACTGAGCCAAACCAGTCACGGCTCTTCCCTATTCTTTTATTACTTGAATTGCACTATAGTTTCATAATTTCTTTCTGTTACCTGAATTGCACTGGCTAGAACCTACAGTACAGTGTAGTAGTGGTGATAGTGGACATTTTGTCTTGTTCCTGATCTTAGAGAGAAAGCATTCATTGTTGTAAATATGATGTGATTTGTAGATGTTTTTCTTTCTTTTTTGTTTTGTTTTATCGTCTAAAGCAGTGGTTCTCAACCTATGGGTCGCGACCCTTTTGGCGGTCGAATGACCCTTTCACAGGGGTCGCCTAAGACCATCCTGCATATCAGATATTTACATTATGATTCATAAAAGTAGCAACATTACAGTTATGAAGTAGCAACAAAAATAATTTTATGGTTGGGTCACAACATGAGGAACTGTATTTAAAGGGCCAGAAGGTTGAGAACCACTAGTCTAAAGTTTTACATAGGTCTCCTTTTTCCCCAGTTGACGCTCCCCCTCGCCACTCCAGCCATTCCCACCCAGGGCAAGCCCCCACTGTCCCAGTGTCTGTGTTTATTGGTTATGCTAATATGCATGCATACAAGTCCTTTGATTGTTCTCTAACACTCCCCCCCACCCCCCATTTGTCTCTGGATCTATTTTTTTTTTTTTTTTTTTTAAATATATTTTATTGATTTTTTACAGAGAGGAAGAGAGATGGTTAGAGAGTTAGAAACATCAATGAGAGAGAAACATTGATCAGCTGCCTCCTGCACACCTCCTACCGGGGATGTGTCCACAACCAAGGTACATGCCCTTGACCGGAATTGAACCTGGGACCTTTCAGTCCGCAGGCTGACGTTCTAGCCACTGAGCCAAACCGGTTAGGGCTGGATCTATTCTTGTTCATCAAATTATGTTGATCATTATATTCCACATATGAGTGAGATCATGTGATATTTAGCTTTCTCTGATTGGCTTATTTCTATTTGTAGATTTTTCATAGACATCCTTTATCAGATTGAGGATGTTTCCCTCCGTTCTTAGTTTGCTGAGAGTTTTTTCAGGAATGTATATTTCAGTGTTGGCGAACCTTTTGAGCTTGGCGTGTCAACATTTTGAAAAACCCTAATTTAACTCTGGTGCCGTGCCACATATAGAAAATTTTTGATATTTGCAACCATAGTAAAACAAGGACTTGTATTTTTTATATTTATTTTATATATTTAAATGCCATTTAACAAAGAAAAATCAACCAAAAAAATGAGTTCGCGTGTCACTTCTGACACGCGTGTCATAGGTTTGCTATCACTGGTATATTTTGTCAAATGCAATTTTTTCTGCACTTATTTAAATGATCTTTTAAAAAAGTCTGTTAATATGGTCAATTGCATTGATTGATTTTAAAATATGAAACCAGCCATGCCACCTGGTCATAGCGTATTATCCTTTTATATATTGTTAGATTTGATTCCCTAAAATTTTGTTTACATTTTTTGCATCTCTCTTCATGAGGAACATAAGTGTATAGTTTTCCTGTAATGTCTTTATAGGGTTTTGTTATCAGGATAGTTCTAATTTCATAGAATGAGTTGGGAAATATTCCCTCCTTTTTAATTATCTGAAAAAAAATTGTCTAGAGCAGTGGTTCTCAACCTTGGCTGCACATTAGAATCACCTGGGAATCTTTTTAAAATCCTGAATTTTGGGCCTCATCCTCCGGAAATTCTGTTTCTTTGTTACTAATGTTGTGGCCCCACCCCATAATAAAGAAACAGAATTTCTGGAGGATGAGGCCCACAAATCAGGATTTTAAAAAAATTCCCAGGTGATTCTAATGTGCAGCCTAAGTTGAGAACCACTGGTCTAGAGTTAGTATTATATCTTCCCTAAGAATTCACCAGTTAAGTTGACTGGGCCTGGAGTTTTTGTTTGTCTTGTGGGGTTTTATTTTGGTGAGAAGGCTTTTAACTACAGGTTCATTTTCTTTAATAGATACATTTAATATGATTATATGGGTAGGTGTAAATCTATCATCTTGCTATTTATTTTTGTCCCCTTTGTTCTTTGTTCACCTCTTCCTCTTTTTATGCCTTCTTTTGGATTAATTATGTTTATTATTCCATCAATACATCTTTGTTGTATTTTAGTGTTTGCTTTAACGTTCATAGTATAAATATTTAATATATCACAGTTTATCTTCAAGTGATATGCAAGTTTATGTATAATATAAACATTTTACACTATACTCCCGTTTCTGTCCTCCTAGGCTTTGTGCTATTGTTGTCATATATTTTACTTCTACATGTTATAAACTCCAATCCACATTGTTATTACATTTGTTTAAATCATCAGTTACCTTTTAAAGAGATTTAAATAATGAGAGAAAAATCTTACATATTTATTTAAGCCATGTAGTTACCATTTCTGGTACTCTTTATTGCTTTATGTAGATTCACATTTCCATCTAGTTTCACTTTCCTTCTGCATTGTAGAACTTCCTTTAGCATTTCTTAGAGGGGAGGTCTACTGTGATGAATTCTTCTGCATTTATAGTCTAAAAAAGTATTCATTTTGTTTTTATTTTTGAAAGTATTTTCAGATATAGTATAGGTTCTTAGTTTCTTCTTTTAATACTTGAACGATATTACTGTAGTCTTCTCATTCGTATTTTTTTTATGACCAGAAATCTGCTTTCATTCTTATCTTGGTTCTTCTATATATAATGTCTTTCTTTTCTCTGGTTGTTTTGACATTTTCTTCTTAGAGCAATTGATTATGATGTGTCTTGATATGTTTTTCCTTTTTTTTTGGTATGTTTTTCTTCATGCTTCTGTGCTTACAGTTCATTAAGTTCCTTGGACTTGTAGGATTGTAGTTTTCATCAAATTTGGAGAAATTTAAGACATTATTTCTTAAAGCATTTTTTCTCTCCCCTCTCTCTACTATTTGGGGGACTACACTGATGTATATATTAGACTACTTGAAATTGTCCCACAACTTACTGGTTTTTTTCAAAAATTTTTCTCTTTCTTTATGATGGGTTTTTTGTATGTTTTCTTTTGCAATGTCTGCTCTACCATTAACCCTGTCATTGTGTTTTTCATCTCACACATTGTAGATTTCATCTCTCGAGGTTTGATTTTGATCTTGTTATGTCTTCCATCCAAGTTCTTCCAAAGTTTCCACTGAACTTTTTAACATACAGAATACAATTTTTATAACAGTTTTAATGTCCTTGTCTGCTAATTCTAACATTACTGTCAGTTCTGAGTTGGTTTTGATTGTTGATTGATTTCTTAATTATGAGTCATATATTTTTGCTTTTTTGCAAGCTTGGCAGTTTTTTTGTTTGATGCTAGACTGTGAATTTTACCTTGGGTCTTAGACATTTTTTCATTTCTATGAATATTTATGAGCTTTGTTCTGGGATGCAGTTACTTTAGGATTATGAAGAAAATAACTACCATTTACTTGTACCCTACCAGACGTCATGTTGGTCACTTGAAGTGTTTCATTTGGTCCTCACTATTAATGTAGAGTAGCTAAATTTTTATTCCCATTTTACCTTTGAGGAGACTATGTCTGGATAGAAACTTGCTTAAGGTCAAGTGGATAAAAAGTGGCAGATATGTGATTCACACTGAGGTCTTTCTGATCTAGAACCTGTATTCTTTTGCTGTAATTACACTATCTTTTCCAACTTAATTTCCATATTACGTAATTACTGTACACATTACAAGAAATGTTTTTAAATGTAAGATTTTACATTTATGGTTTGGAGTTCTTTTTATTAATAATTAGAAATATCTCACTGACTGTAGTACTTTAATAGTGCTTTGCTCATGAGGCATAGAGTACATACATATTGTAATTATTGTCAATAAAAGTGAAACTTGTACTAGAATTCAGAGAAGAAATTGCATCACAGTGTCAAAGGAATTAATTTCAAGAGCTGTTGTTCTACAGACTTATACTCTAAAAAGACATTGATTCTCTTTATTTTCAGGGACTATTTTTGCATATGGACAAACTGGAACAGGCAAAACTTTTACTATGGAAGGTGTTCGAGCTGTTCCTGAACTGAGAGGAATCATTCCAAATTCATTTGCTCATATATTTGGTCATATTGCAAAAGCAGAGGGTGATACAAGGTAAAATAATTCTTTTATTTTTCCAATATTAAGAAGTACAAACTTAAGAAAGGCATATAGGTACAAATTTCATAAACACACTTTAAAACTGTTCTTATAAATATTTCACTGTTTTATGTTTTTAAAGTGATGTTTTGTTTATAGGTTTTTGGTCCGAGTGTCTTACTTGGAAATATATAATGAAGAGGTTCGTGACCTCTTGGGCAAGGATCAAACACAGAGGCTAGAGGTAAGGATAATTGAAATTGGAGTGCTTCCCAAAGACCAGTAATAGCTTCACCTTATCTCTGCCTACCTCTATAGCCAGATATCCTACACTCTCGCCACCCTATCCTACTCCCACCCCTGTCCTGCTTCCTATTCTTTCCAGCCTACTTTATTCTTATTTCAGAATCCTTACATTTATTCTTTTCCTCCTACCCCAACCCAGATTGGCTACTTCCTGTTTCTTTAAGTCTTAGCTTACATCATCTTAGGGAAACTTATTCTGTCCCTGCTTCACCAGCATAAGTCTCTCTAATGTATTCTTTTTTTTTTTTTTTAAATATATTTTATTGATTTTTTTACAGAGAGGAAGGGAGAGAGATAGAGAGTTAGAAACATCGATGAGAGAGAAACATCGATCAGCTGCCTCCTGCAAACCCCCTACTGGGGATGTGCCCACAACCCAGGTACATGCCCTTGACCAGAATCGAACCCGGGACCCTTCAGTCCGCAGGCTGACGCTCTATCCACTGAGCCAAACCGGTTCCGGCTAATGTATTCTTATATTGTCTTATACTTTTTTAATTCATGGCATTATCACAATGGAAATAAAATAATTTTTGTGTGTAATTATTTGTATGTTCTCCCTATAGATTTTCAATTCCACAAGTGTAGAGACTGTCTACCTTCTTTATCACTGTATACTCAATATCAAGCAGTGTCTCACAGATGTTTAATAAATAATTGTGTTAAGTAACACATTTATTTACACATTATATGTAGTGGATGTTCAATGTTCAATAAATAACACATAGATGTTCAATGAATAGATGTGAAAGAATTTTGGAATATGTGTTAAGTCTTATGATTATTTTTCTTAGGTTAAAGAAAGACCTGATGTGGGAGTTTATATCAAAGATTTATCAGCTTATGTGGTAAATAATGCTGATGATATGGATAGAATTATGACACTGGGCCACAAAAATCGTAAGTGTAATTCATAATTTTGATTAAACATTTATGTGTTGAGTAGGCTGGTTTAGAAGCAAAAACTGGTGTGACATTTTGTTCCACAAAGACTGGATTTTTAAGTTTCTTGAAAATCCTTTCTCTTTGATTATTTACTAGGTAGAGAGCACATATGGATGAAAGATATCACAAATTACTTTCTGTGCTGACCAAAATTTTGTTTCTTAGTACTGGTGCTATATTTTATATAACTGTTTATTTGTTAGCTACAGTAATATTTGGTAACATTTATTGAGCACTTACAATGTAGGAAGTGCTTGTTCTAAGTGATTTATTAGAATGGTCTCTTTTTTTTTTTTTCTTTTTTTTTTTTTATTGCTTAAAGTAATACAAAGGGTATTACATATGTGTCCAGAATGGTCTCTTTTAATCTTCACAGTAGACTATGACAGTATTAAATTCCTATTTTATGATTGAGGAAACCAAGACTTACTTTAAATAGCTTGTCCAAGGTTATATACTACTTAATAAGTGGCAGAATGAATATTTTAATCTAACCATGAATCAGTATAACCAGGCATTATACTGCCACCCTTTTAATGACAGGAAAAGCAAAACAAAATTAAAGTGGTATTTTAAAAATGTATATTTTTATTCATTTCAGAGAGGAAGGGAGTGGGAGAGAGAGATAGAAACATCAAAGATGAGAGAGAATCATTGATCAGCTGCCTCCTGCGTGCCCCACACTGGGGATCGGGCCCAACCCTGGCATATGTTTTCACCAGAAATCAAACCAAAGTGGTATTTTTTTTAGTAATTGTTTCAGGTTTTGTCTAAATAATAAAGAACTTTAGCAATATTTAATACACAGATGCCCCAGGCCTCATACTGGTGATGTTGCTAATAGCAATTAAAGATTAGAGATGAAAGATTAGAACATAGGAAGTAAACACGTTTCAAAGTTTTTTATGACTAGACTAAAAATCAAGGAAATTAAACAAATATTTAAAAAATCAGTTGCAGCCCAGCCAGCCAGCATGGCTCAGTGGTTGAATGTCAACCTATGAACCAGGAGGTCATGGTTGATTCCCGCTCAGGGCACATGCCTGGATTGCCGGCTTGATCCCCAGTGTGGGGTGTACAGGGGACAGCCGATCAATGATTCTCTCCCATCATTGATGTTTCTGATTTTCTCTCCCTATCCCTTATTCTCCGAAATCAATAAAAACATATTTAAAAAATCAATTGCATTCTTAAAAACCAAGTCGTAGAAAAAGACCAAATTTTAACAGGAAAATGAGCAAACGATATGTACAAATATGTTATTCACAGAACTGTACACAGCAATACGCATGTGAAAGGATGTTAATATTTGGTAACATTTATTGAGCACTTACTTTGTAGCAACTTCACAAATAATTAGGAAAATGGATATTAAAACAACAGTGGGAGATATTTTACCCATCAGTTTGGATGAAGGGTTATACAGGTTGGTGAGGCTGTACTGGTGATGAGATTATAAAATAGTACGGTTTTTTGAAGGGCAGTATAACAGTAACTGTTGAAATTTTAAAAAATGTATTTCTTTTGACATAGTGTTTCTAATTCTAGATATATATTCTAGAAAAATATATTTAAGTATAACAAATTTCTATTGAGACATTATTTGTGATAAAAAGTTTGACACAATCTAAATAACTATAAACAAAACATTGGTTATATAAATTATGGTACAAAAATACTGTAGACTATAATGAAGCTCTGAGAAAAATCACAGTGAGTTTAATCTCCTTGTAGAGACCTGGAATATTTTCAAGATATATGTATTATTAAGTGAACAGCAAATTTCAGAATAGTATTACTACATCATCCCATTAATATATTTGTAAAAAAGCCAAATTATTAAACTATGTGTTTGGATAGTGTGTGTGTGTATGTGTGTGTGTCTGTATGTTCACATGTGTGCATGTAAAATAGAAATGAAAGGACATTTAATAGGGGTTACTTTTAGGAAAGGGGAAGTAAGATTGGAAAAAAGGGATGTTGGGAGCTTTCATTGCTTTTTAAAAATATACTTTAAAATTTTTTGTCCCAGGAATATGTTCATGTACTGCTTATTTAATTTAAAAAATTTTTAACATAAGATTTCATTTATAGTAGTGACCAAAAGCTCCCATTAAGTACCTGAGAATTAGTTTAATAAAATGAAATAAAGATAAAGGGATTTGAAAACCTAAGATAGCAGAGAGGAAAATACTCTTAATAAATAGAGTCCAAGAATTGAATATTTAGTACAAATGTTTAGCACAAAAGTTCCAACATAAAAATATAAACTTTATCATATTGAAATATAGTAAAATAACTATCAAGAGGGAAATAGCAGAAGAGGAATATGGGACAATAAAAGACGCTATTATAAATAAAAGAATCAATACAAATATAAACTTAATTCCATTTTTTACAGATGGTCATAGTATAGAAATAGTTAATTTTATACTTAAGAAAATAAGTCATCTCACAAACAGCCTGCCTAGCAACTAAAATGCAAATTTAAATTATTTCAGTATATTTACATGTGGGCATCCTTGTAAATTGGTTAATATTTTTGTAGAGCAGTGTTTTCAGCCTTTACACCAAATTCCTTTTCTTAAAAATTATATTTTTGAATAAGTAATTCATACATATAAGGTAAAATTCAAAAGGCACAAAAGTATTCACTGAAAAACAAGTCTCTCTCCTACCCTTGTGTCTCAGTCACCTGGTTCCCATTCCTGGTGGCAACTTCTGTTAGTTTCTAATGTACCCTTTCTGATGTAGTCTATGTGTTTTTAAAGAGAGCTTGTCCTCTTACTTTATTCACTTAACAATATTATCTTAGAGATCATTTCACATTAACTCATACTTATCCTATATAATAAAAGGCTAATATGGAAATTGTCCCCTCAACTGGGAGTTTGACCAGGAGGCGGGGCCAGCCCTGCCAACCGCCCGAGGCTCCTCCCCCAGCCAGCCCAGCCCAGTTGGCCCCAATGGGGCAGGCCAGCTGGACCCCACCCGTGCACCAATTCGAGCATTGGGGCTCTAGTACATATATAAGCATTTTTAAAAGAATGATGTAGTATTTCATTGCATGAATCTACATAATTTATCTAATCTTTTACTGATGGACTTTTGGGTTGTTTTCAATCTTTTTTCTGAGCAATACTGCATTAAATATTCTTACATATACATGAGTTTATACACATGCAGTCATATTTATAGGATACATTTTTTCATATCCTCTTGAAAAGCATAAAAACAAATTTTTTTATTCCAAATAAATACTGGATAAAAATTAAAGCTATGGAAATGTTTTTTGTTTTATTTCCGTTATGACATGTCACTGTTTGGAGCATTGAGCCTACTTCTCTGCTGCAAGCTCTTCTCTCCCAGGGATTGTAAAGCTCAACATAGGTCACATTTAACAGCATGTCTGTTGCATTTCTTGGTTTTTATAACCAGATATGCAGAAAAATTACAATCATAAATAGCTTGTTTTACTTATATTGTAAAAACAATAGGTATTAATAAGATTTTTTCAAATTACATGTTCTCTCTTCATCCAAATTGGAAAATACTGCTATAGTGTGATTTGATACCACATAGCTATAAAACGATTTCTACTCTTTACCTGGTAATTCCAGTTTGGAAAATACATCCCATGGAAATAATACTAAAGAGAGAGAGAGGTATCTGCTCAGAGACGCTCATTTTGTGTTCCTTATGAGGACCTAAAGTGGGAAACCATTCCAAATACTAGTATCTCTCAATAAGGGAACAGCAAAATCAAGGTTTAATAGTTCTCTATGTTTTTTGAAGAAATTCATAATTTGATTTAAAAGAAAATAGAAAAATGTAGTATGAAGTCACAAGTCTTCGCTTTTTTTTTTCCCCCTAATTTTTTCTTTACCTTCTTTTGACAGGCTTTACTTTTTCTTTTTTTCAATTACAGTTTACTTTCAGTATTATATATTGGTTTCCAGTTGTACAGCGCATGGTTAGACAATCATATACTTTACATAGTTCTCCCCTTTGCCCCCCCCCATATTTCCAGTACCCAACTGGCACATACATAGTTATCACAATATTATTGACTATATTCCCTATGCTGTACATCCCTGTGACTATTTTGTAACTAGCAATTTGTATTTAATTCCTTCTCATCTTTCTCCCAGTCTCCCACTCCCCTCCCTCTGGCAGCCACCAGTCTGCTCTCTGTATCTGAACCAGTTTCAATTTTGTTTGTTCATTTATTTTGTTCTTTAGATTTCACATATAAGTGAAATCATATGATATTTGTCTTTCGCTGACTGACTTATTTAGGCTTTACTTTTTTTTCTTTTTAAAAAAGATACATTTTTATTGATTTCAGACAGGAAGGGAGAGGGAGAGACAGAGAGAGAGAAACACCAATGATGAGAGAGAACCGTTGATCGGCTGGCTGCCTCTTGCACGCCCCACAGTGGAGATGGAACCCGCAACCCGAGCATGTGTCCTGACCGGGAATCCAACTGTGACATCCTGGTTCATAGGTTGACACTCAACCACTGAGCCACGCAGGCTGCGCTAGGCTTTCGTTTTTTGTATTAGTGCAATTTACATTCCAGTTATCTGACTTCAGAACAGCCATGTTAATAATTAATAATGTTTATATTTTAATGTTTAAATTCTAAAATCAAAGCTTGTGTGGATAAATTCTGCATGAATATATAGTAGGAAGATAATTTGAAATTGGGTAAAATTAACCTAATGCTTTTAAAATACGTAGGAATTTAAGGAAAAAAATAATACATGTGTATTATAAAAAACAAAACACCACCTTTTTCTTTGTTTACAGAATATATTCATGTAAAATATTTATACCCACACAGTACTTGGAATGGATGCTTTTGTTTTATAGAAGAGGGATTATACTATATACAGTGGGGCCTTTACTTACGAGTTTAATTCGTACTGTGACGGAGCTCATAACTCAAATTACTCGTATGTCAAATCACTGTGACGTTCGCTGCGCCAACTAGCGGTGGGGTATCTGAAGCTGGCTCGTAACCCGAATTTTTTTGAGCTTGCAACTCAAAGCAAAAAATGGGCCGAGAGACGGCTCGTATCTCAAAAAAACTTGTTAGTCGGGACACTCGTAAGTCAAGGCCCCACTGTATTCCTCTCTTTTTGTTTCCCAGCCATATGTTATGGATATCTTTTCATGTTATACCTTTTTAAAAAATATATATATATTTATTGATTTCAGAGAGGAAGGGAGAGGGAAAGAGACATAGAAACATCAATAATGAGAGAGAATCATTGATTGGCTGCCTCCTACATGCCCCCTCCTAGGGATCAAGTCCACAATGTAGGCATGTGCCCTTGACCAGAATCGAACCTGGGACCCTTTGGTCCGCAGGCTGATGCTCTATCCACTGAGCCAAACTGGCTAGGGCTACCTTATTTTTTTAACTCCATATTATGACTAGTCTGTAATGGATTAACCACTGTCCTGTGGTTGTTTCTGATCTCTTGCTGTTGTGAAATGCTGCGCCGAATATCCTGGCATCATCTAATGCATGTATACAAGTATTTCTGTGATTTAGATTTGCAGAACATAATGTTTTTTTAGAGATAGCTGAAACAGCAATATTTTTTTGAATTATTTACCATGTATTTTTATGTAAATTAGTTATTTTTGTAGCCAGTAATACTTCGGGTTAAAATTAATTACTTTGTCCTAAAATTACCTCTTTAGTATAAGAAATACTACAAATTATTTTGTTATCAACATAAATTGTCAGAAACTGCTAATAATGGCTAAACACATCTATGCTTTTATGGTTTAGCCAGGCTGTTTGATTTTTGGCTCTGGTAAAATTAAGTATTATAAACCATTCTGGATAGTTAATTTTTAAAGGTACTCCCTGTTATTATACTTTTTAAGAATTTCCTTCCTTTATTCAAGGTTCTGTTGGTGCCACTAATATGAATGAGCATAGTTCCCGTTCCCATGCCATCTTTACAATTACCATAGAATGCAGTGAAAAAGGCGTTGATGGTAACATGCACGTCAGGATGGGGAAGCTCCATCTTGTAGATCTTGCTGTAAGTAATAGGCTACTACTTTAAAGAATAACTCTTGTAATTTTTTTATTTTATAAATAAATAAAAATTCAAGTGAAAAGGTGTGATTTATATATGATTTTTAAGTTGTTAACTTGTGTATGTGTTTTGTTTACTATGGAATATTTCGAACCTGTACAAAAGTAGATAGAATAATGTAATGATCTTCCATGTAACCATCACCCACTTCAACAATTACTGGTTCATGGCCAGTCCTGTTTCATCTCTACCATTCCCCACTTCTCTTCCGGTATTATTCTGATGTGAATTCCAGATACTATATCAGATTTCTTTCCTTTTAAATTACTTTTTATTAAGCTTTAGAAACAATATTCTGTATTTTTTATTTTAGCTTTATTTCTGTGTCTGTTTATTGCTAGGGTTCAGAAAGACAGGCAAAAACTGGAGCTACTGGACAGCGCCTCAAGGAAGCTACAAAAATCAATCTTTCGCTTTCCACCCTTGGTAATGTAATTTCTGCCTTGGTTGATGGAAAAAGCACTCATGTGCCTTATCGTAATTCTAAATTGACTCGTCTTCTTCAGGATTCCTTAGGAGGAAATTCAAAGACCATGATGGTAAGACTTAATTGATAATATTATAGTTATCATCAGGCAACTTTTAGATTCCTGTTTATCCCTATAATAGATATGCATAACATTTTTTAAACTATTGATTTTTTTACTTTATTTGATTTTGTGGTTATTCTTTTTCTAGTATACCATGTATACAAGCCCATACTGTGTTACTTGGAAATACATGTGGTTATACTTACTCTCTCTTTCTTTTTTAAAATATATCTTATTGATTTCAGAGAAGAAGGGAGAGGGAAAGAGAGATAGAAACATCAATGATGAGAGAGAATCATTGATTGGCTGCCTACTGCACATCCCCTACTGGGGATCAAGCCTGCAACCCAGGCATGTGCCCCTGACAGGAATCGAATCTGGGACCCTTCAGTCCACAGGCTGACATTCTATCCACTGAGCCAAACCAGCTAGGGTCTTATTCTCTTTTTCAAGAAGATGAGAGTAGAAGTATGCTTAGAAATTATTTTAGTTATCTTCGTAATGGTATTAATTTTAACTGTATCAGGTGTTACAATGTTTTGTTTTGTATTCCTAATTCAACAGTGTGCAAATATTGGGCCAGCAGATTACAATTATGATGAAACTATTAGTACATTACGGTACGCTAACCGTGCTAAGAATATTAAAAATAAAGCTAGAATTAATGAAGATCCAAAGGATGCTTTACTTCGTCAGTTTCAGAAAGAAATAGAAGAACTGAAAAAAAAGCTTGAGGAAGGTAACTTTTCCCCAAATGTTAATCTTAATGTTGGCTAAAAATATGTTGCTTTACCACTAAGTGTACTAATAAAAACCACCTATTAAAAATTCTTTGCACCTCTAACATTGATATTTAAAGGAATATTTCTGTTTGCTCACTTGATACATACTTTAGCATTTTCATATTAAGTAAGCTCAAGTAAATGTATATAATGTTTGTATATGTGATTTAAAAACTTTACTTAATTTAAACCTCTATCTTAATCCCAATGACCTTTTGTAGATTTTATATGACCACTTATTAAATAATTAATTTTTATTTGTCTCTGTATAAGAGCAAATTCTACCATATATTTATTTATTTATTTATTTTTGTTCAGTAGTCAAGAGTCTTTATTAGACAGGAGGTGGGACTTCCATCTCAGAGGAATCTTAGCTCAGACGACACAGGAGGAACCGGGATGGGATGGGACGGGAGCAAGGGCGAAGCCAAGTGTTATCCCAGGGGTTCTGGGTGCAGTGGGCTGTGCGGGCTGGAGGCTGGAGGCTGGGGTCTCCCCACTTCCATCCCCCTCAAAGGCTTTGTGGAGGAGGCAGCCAACTTAGAGTAGAATTTAGCCTCATCTTTCAGTCAATCCAGGAAGGCTTCTTAGAGGAAACCCAGACCAACTGGTGAAACAGGTTCTCCTTTTTGGTACAGGCAAGTAGGTGCCTGATCAAGGCCAGTTCCTTCCTTCCTGGGGTGTGGGGAGCTGTGCCCGGGAAAGGGTACAATGAAGGGCTGCCAGAAACCAGGAGTCCGACACACAGCTGTGGGGGTCAGTCCTTTTCTGCCCCATCTGGGGCTGGGAGCCAGCAGCTTGGAGGCCCCCACAGTTCACTTCTCCAAGAGCTTTAAAACCTTTCAAATCAGTCAGGTCAAGCCAAGGGTCAGAGAACTGGTGCGTCAGCAGTACAGATCTTGGGTAGACATTGGGAAGGACTTCCCAAGATAGAAATAAGCAAGATCATAGAATTTCATCGAGCCCAAGGTGCCCATCCGTGCTCTCAGGCGCTGTCCTTTTGGGCCCTTCCCGCCCATAGAGCACCTCGGCCCTGGGTCCTGGGTGCCAGGGCTCAGCAGGCGCCGGGGCAGGGTCACCCACCCGAAGGCCTCGACGGAGCAGAGGTGAGGCAGGAAGAGCGCGCCTCACCTTCCCAGGGACCTCCTCAGCCTCTGCTGTGGCTCTCTATACCATATATTTAGATGACTATGACCAGAGTTCCTTGTGATAGATATCAGTCACTGTTGTTTGAAGTACAGAAAGCCATCAGCAAGTTTACTGTAAGTAAAATTCACTGCATAGTCTTCACATAGCTTTCATACTTAAATTTGAACATGAGGTTCTCTTTTGTAAATTCTTTCCTAACGATAATATTAGAAGGTTAGCTAGTTTGAAGACCTTATTCATGCGGTTGAGTTATTTACCATCTCTAAGTGCCCAGTGACTTCCTGTACCTTCATGCTAAGCACCAATTGGCGTAGGGCTCCTTTGCATACCAGGTACACCAGAGGGCTTTGAAACTGCCTCTTTTCAGTCTGTGGGAAAACTGGTTAGATCAGATGTGAAATCAAGAGATGCCAATATCACAAATGTTTGGAGAAGGTGCTGATTCATTACACTTGAGTAAGATTATTGAGGAAAAGCAGTTGTAATTGACCTGCCTCTTAGGATAATGAAATTTGGTGTTTTAAGTGTGACCACTAGGTGGTATTTATAGTCAGTATATTTTAAAATTTTTAAATTTCTTAGATTTGTTAATGTTGAGTATATCTTTATTTTGCTGACTTATCTTTATTTACATTTATTTATTGTGGAAAAATATACATAACATAAAATTTACCATTTTAATTATTTTTAAGTATATTAAATAAGTTCACATTGTTCTGCAACCATTACCATCATCCATCTCTAACTTTATAGTCATCCCAAAATGTCATCCCCATTAAACACTAACTCCCCATCACCTTTTCTCCCTCAGCACCTGGTAGCCACTATTTTACTTTCTATCTCTGAATTGACTATTCTAGGTACCTCATATAAGTAAAATCATACAATATGTGTCCTTTTGTGTCAGGCTTATTTTATTTAGCACGATATCCTCAAGGTTCATCCATATTGTAGCATGTATCAGAATTTCCTTCCTTTTTAAGGCTGAATAATATTCTGTTGTATGTATATACCACATTTAAAAAAAAATGTTTTGATTTTTTTTTAAAGGGAGAGGGAGAGGGAGAGGGAGAAACATTGATGTGAGAGAAACATTGATCAGTTGCCTTCTGTATGCACCCCAACCTGGGATCAAACCCGAAACCTGGGCATGTGCCCTGACTGGGAATCAAACTGGAGACCTTTTGGTGCATGGAAATATGCTCAATCATCTGAGCTTCACCCGCTAGGGCTATTCCACATTTTGTTTATTCATTTATCTGTCGATGGGCACTGGTTAGCTTCTGACTTTTGACTGTTGTGGATAATGCTGTTATGAATGTGGGTATACAAATACCTGTTCAAGTCCTGATTTCAATTTTTTTGGGCATACACTCAGAATTGGAATTGCTGGATCATATGGAAATGCTAATTTTATTTTTAACACATTTCATTTTATTTGTGCTCCTAGGTCATTTGTTTTTGTAGAACAGTTGACAGAGGTTTATAATCTGGTTAATAGAATTGATCATAAGAACAATAAAAAGTAGGCAAAAATATTTAAAAATTATTTTTTTAACTTTTTATTTTGAAATAATTTTAGACTTATAGAAAACTTGCAAATATAGTGAAAGTTCCAAATACCCATCACCCAGCTTCCCCTGATGTTAATATCCTATATAATAAAAGCCTAATATGCTTAGTGTCCAACCGCTCATTCGACCAGTCGCTATGACACGCACTGACCACCAGGGGGCAGGCGCTCCAACCAGTAGGTTAGCTTGCTTCACACGTCTTAGAGCCTTCCCTTGGTTCCTCCCCAGGAGGCCAGTCTCCCAGTAACCTCCCTATCCTCTAAAATACTTCTTCTAATTAATTTCAATGTGCATGAATCCATCCACCTGGCCTCTAGTCTTACATAATCATAGAACAGTTAATGAAACAAGGTAATTTACATTGATACAAACTTAACTAATCTAAAGATCTTAAAATATTTTAGGCCCTACCAGTAAAACAGTTTTATTTCATTTTAAAATAGTCATTTATGTGAAGATCTTATTTAAATTTTGACAGTTTTCCCTCTCATGCCCTTTTTCTCTAGTCCAGTATCTAATCTAGGATCACACTGTGCATTTAGTTGTCTTTTTAATTTCATCCAGTCTCCAGTTCCTCAGTCTCTTTTTGTCTTTCATGCTCTTAACACTTTCGAAAAGTACTGGTCATATATTTGTAAAATGTTCCTCAATTTGGGATTGTCAGTAGTTCTCTGATAATTATTCTGCAAGGTTTCTATACTATAAATCTATTACTTACTTTATTTTCTCCTTTATAACTAATATGCATCTGTGGGGAGCCACTTTGAGACTATACGAAGCTCCTGATTCTTACACTTTCTCCCACTGATTTTAGCATCCATCAAGGGTTCTTGCCTGAAACAGTAACTCTGTGGCATTTGGTCATTGGTGACTCTCTTTCCATCATTTCTTCTGATGTTTAGTGTTTGGAATTCTGTTGTATGGAAGAGCGCTCCCTTCTCCTTCACTATTTATTCAGTGATTTATATGCTAGTGGCCCTGTGCACGAATCTGTGCGAGAGTAGCTCGCTGCTGCTTGCCTCAGCTGGCTGCCCTGCCCACTGCTGCTCTTCGCCTGCTGCATCGCCCTCCTGTAGCTCTCCGCCGCTCGTAGCTCACTGCCCTCCCCTCCTGCTGACCATTTGCATATTACCTCTTTATTATATAGGATGTCAGTATGGACATTTGTGGTTTATGATACAGTAATAATATGTATCTTATTGCTCAAATTGTTCCAGCTTTGGCCATTAGGAACTCCTACAGAGTTGTTCCTATATCCTTTCAGTACGCTCCCATTAGTTTTTTTGTTTACTTAGCACTTCCTTATTTTCTGGCACCACAGGTGTTTTGCGCTCATTTTGTATTTTCTCTATCCCAGCCTAAAAATCAGCTATTTCTCCCTGGTTCCTTTCATTGGAGAATGGTATTTAGAAACCAAAATGTCAGTATTAGGTGTGTTCATTGCTACTGAGGTGTCATTGTTTCTGGGCCCAAAGAACAAAACATTTTTATAAAAAATACATATTTCATTGATTTTTTACAGAGAGGAAGGGAGGGAGAGAGAGAGTTAGAAACATCAATGAGAGAGAAGCATCGATCAGCTGCCTCCTGCACATCCCCTACTGGGGATGTGCCTGCAACCAAGGTACAAGCCCTTGACCAGAATCGAACCTGGGACCCTTCAGTCCCCAGGCCGGCGCTCTATCCAGTGAACCAAACCAGCTAGGGCCAAAATATTTTTTAATGAATTCCTTCTCCGAAGACTCTGTGATCTCTTTCCATCCTTTATTTACAGGTTCAAGTATTATATTATTGTGATTAGTGTATATTTTACTTTTTGTTCCAATTACTTTTGTTTTCTTAGACATTTCATATATGGATAGTGGTATTTTTTTTTAAAATATATTTTATTGATTTTTTACAGAGGAAGGGAGAGAGATAGATGTTTCTCTCTCATCAATGTTTCTAACTCTCTATCAGCTGCTTCCTGCACATCCCCCACTGGGGATATGCCCGCAGCCCAGGTACATGCCCTTGACCGGAATCGAACCCGGGACCTTTCAGTCCGCAGGCCGACGCTCTATCCACTGAGCCAAACCGGTTTCGGCGATAGTGGTATTTTTAAATAACTATTTTGACTGTAATATAGTATTGACCTTCATTAATATTAGTTTGATTATTCCCTTTTATTTGATTTTTGGGTTTTTTTAAGTTAACAAAATCTTTGTACAAATGAGTCTTTTTGAAATATTTATTGTGATGTAGTTCTAAAAGTGGAATCACTATGTTAGATGATAGTTTATGGCTCTTAAGAAATATGCAGGTTGAGTGAATTATTTAAAATCTTAAACAGAAAACTGAAGAGAAAATGCTCCCTCAAAGTGATCACATTTTTAAAAGACTGAAATAATTGTAACATGTAATTTTATATATATTTAGAACTGTACTTTATTATTTAAATGGATAAGAACTTAACTACTCTTTAGGAAATTTAAAAATAAAGTCTGTGTGTATATCATATCTATTTCTGAAGTTAGCATATCTGATATGCTGTTTAGGAATTTTAATGCAAGGTTTGTTTAGAGCAACAAAAACTTAATGGAATAAGTGATGTAGGGATTTTCTATATAGCCAATGACCTGGTGCAGAATAAAAATCATTGTAATAAATTTGTATTCAAGGGGAAGAAATATCAGGCTCTGATATCAGTGGGTCAGAAGAGGATGATGATGAAGAGGGTGAGGTTGGAGAAGATGGAGAGAAAAGGAAAAAAAGAAGGGGTAAGTTCTTTTTAGTTCTAGAAATTACCTTAGATTGCTACTTAATGATTGCTTAACATTCTCAAGGAAGTTGAGTGCATGCCTTTTATTTTGCCATTTTTAGTTACGGTAGCAAGTCAAACAGGAAGTATGACATATACCTGGTTAACTTTTTATTATTATTTTCTGTATTATTTTTCCTCTTGTACTTCTCTGTTTATAGCTGAATTAGAATACCATATGTTCTGTTTTTATTTTAAAATTTAGAATTGTAAGTCAGTGATAGTGGATATACTATTTTATACTATTTTATAATTTCACGTAAGGTTTCAATTTTATATGGGGACTTTTATGTACGTTATGAAAATAAACTTTTTAGGAACTTAGGATAATGTGGAGTTTTTCTCAAGCATAATTAGGCTTTCGAAGTCATTGAATTTTTTAATAAATTTGTATAAGGATTCTAATTTTTCAATTTGATTTTTTCTTTATAAAATGTACTTTCATTCTCACCCTGTTATGTGCCATTTATTGCTAAGTACAAATTAACATTGTTTATTGTGATAAAGATATGGATAACATGCAAAAGAGAGAGACATGTTAAATGGCCTACATTAAAAAATTTTTACCGTAAATGTTTATTTATTTTGGAACTCTCTTCCATTAACATGGGTCATTGTTTTCAAGCTGGTGCATATTTTGCTTGTCTTATTAAAATTATCGTAATCAGGGCAAGATGTTCAAGTGCACATCTTTTGCCATTGCCTAGTTGCCTGCACCCACCCTTTAGGGAGATGGGGGTCATTAAAGTAAACTTAACATTGAAAAATAAATGATCTTGCTGAAAATAAACCCGTTACTGCTTGATCAGGACTCCAAAATTCACAAATGATAAAGATTTTATAACTTCAAAAGACAGGAAAAGCATGATTTAGAGCAGGAGTTGGCAAAATATAGTCTGCTGGCTAAATTCAGCCTACCACATGTTTTTGTAAATGAAATTTTATTAAACAGCCATGCCTATTTATTTATATGTTGTCTATGACTGGCTGCTTTCACATGGGACTGTATGGCTCTCAAAATCTAAACACTTATTATCTGTACCTTTACAGAAAATGTTTGCCAAACCCTGACTTAGAGAATCACTTTTGTGTGCATACCTATTTCTTATTTATTGATGAGAGAGAGAGAGAGAGAGAGAGAGAGAGAGAGAGAGAGAGAGAGAGAGAGAGAGAGAGAAAGAAAAGAAAGAAAGAAAGAAAAGAAAAGAAAAGAAAAGAAAAGAAAAGAAAAGAAAAGAAAAGAAAAGAAAAGAAACAGAGAAACGTCTGTGTGAGACAGAAATGTGAATCCCTTGCCTCCCTAACATCTCCCGACCAGTAATTGAACCTGCAACCTGGGCATGTACCCTGACAGGGAATTGAACCAGGACCTTTTGGTGCACAAGACAGGGCTCTAACAACTGAGCCCCACTGACCAGACCATACCTGTTTTTCACAAAATAAATTATTCAAAGCTAAAGCAGATAATAGATTTATTAAAAATAAAATTTTAAATAGCAAAAAAATATTTAATAGTAAAATACCTTCCTTTCAGGCTTAGAAATTTTAAAATGTTCAGTGAGCTTTTCAAAGTTTGACCATGAAACCTTAAAACATACATAATTATATCTATATCTAATAGTGTGATGTTTTAAAGAAATTGGAGACAAACCAACCTGTCTATAATGTAAGGCAATTTATCATTTTATAAGTTTAATTATGCATGACTTCAAATCTTAAAACTCAGTTCCTTTAACTTATCAACCTAAATAGTTTAAATAAACTTAAATGTCACCAAATGACTTACTGATTTTTTTATTCTTGTCATTCCAACCCTCTGAATTACTGTGTTTTAGGTGAATAGTGGGGTTTGCCCACAGTAGATGCTTAAAGGAATACAGTTTCTAATTCTGCATGGCTTTGATAGTAGAGCATATTGGCTAGACTCCCAAGACTGGTTTTGAGGGAAAGTAAGTTTTGGTTCTTTAATACAAAGCTTGATTGTCTTTTACAATTCTCTCTCTGGAACTGAATTTTTCTGTGTATGTATTCCTTTTCTTGTTTCCTTTTTCTTTGGTTCCCGTTGGGCTCATCTCTTTGTCTTCCAGGCAGTAGCAGCAGCAGTAGTTCAGACTCCACATGTTCTGTCATAGAGAAACCTCTGGATAAGTTCTTGCCTAGTGAGTGGTAGCTCTTAAGTTCTCTAACGGAGCTTTGGCTTTTTCATAACCCGTGGGCTTCATTTGAGGAATGCTGCACTGCTCCCTGTCATGACCTAAAGAATACATGTTGGACTTCCCAGTAAACAAAGCATGTGATAACCTCCCCCTTCATTGCTTCCAGTAACCTGTAATTGTTAAAACATACACTTAAATTTATGTTCAAGACGATGGAAGAGAGATTCATGCTTTTGCAATTGAGATAATGTAAAGAGAGCTAGTAAGCTGTATAAAAGAATACTTCTTACGGTTCCTTTTCATGTTTCATGGCTTCATGACAAATTTCTAATCCTTGTCAGTATAATGGACATGTAGTAACAAATCCTGACTTTCTAAAACTCAGGATGAAATACAGTGCCAATTATAACATGTCTTACTGTTTATAAAGGTTTTAGGCTTTGGTGTTTTAATCTTAGGGTAGCTTAAGAGTGAAAGCGCCCAAATAAATAAATAAAAAGTAAAATTTGAAGCAAGTGAAGATAAATTGAATAGTACTAGTATTTTATATCAAATGGCCATTTATATCTAAATTACCTGATTGATTTTAAGAAATTTTCTAATGTATGATTATAGAAATCAAATCCACAAGAAATTGTTTATGCATTATCTGTTGATTTATTTCAAACCTAAAGACTTTTTCTTAAACCTTAATTATTTATATTTCATTTTCAGAAGAAAAGGGAATTGATGCTTTCTTGTACTAGCTTTCAGCTTACTGTCTTTTAAAGCATTATCTATATATTTACCTTTAGAAACCAATAGCAGAAACATTTGATTATTGTTCTTATGCCTTGAGCTTTCTAGAGAAAGAATTCCAAGAATATTAGGAATTGTATTCTCTATTGACAATTCTTAAATTTTACCAAAAACAGTTAATTTCAGAGGATAACATAAAATACATGACATTGCTTTAGAAACCATATAGAGGTATTATTTTGTATTATAAACTCTGAAATACAAGAAAATATCTGAGTGGGAGGCATTAATTTTCTGTTTTAAAATTTACCTTAATCCTTAAAGACTAGTTATATGAAAGTCTATTATGAAATGAGTTGTACTTTGTTCAATTCAAGCGGTTTGTGCACCTGGCACATAACATTAAGTTCTTTTTTTGTGATGTGGGTGTGCTGATGAAGTACAGAGATGGTTGTCCCAGCATGATTGCTATGTGTAACTTGTATGTACTTTCCCTTTAAAAAATATGAATGGCCTTTTTATTTAGGTGTTCTTTGCTTGAATCATCAATTGATTATTTACTTCTATAGAATCATTGTAATTATCCTTAATGGGCCACTAATAGATTGAATGCAAGTTTGTTATTTACAGGTGTACTTCACTTTATGTAATAAATGTTTTTGGTATGTATGTTTCTTTTCCTGAAAAAATTGCCCTTAAATCAAGTTGGGAAATCAGATGTATTGAGAGAGATCTTGTTTTTTAAAAGAATTCTTCATTAAATCCTTTTGTTAATTAAATCATTATTGCAAATTGCTATAATCTAATTTGGGGTTGAATTTTCTTAAAGGGAGGCACACCTGTAACAGTTCCTTACATTGGAAGAACATTGAATTGGGAAATTTTGAAAATGGACAGTGTGAATTTTGCTGCTTTTAACTTCTTAAATTGGCTTAATTTTCTGCTTTGCTCTTTTAGACTACTTCTCAGGTCTTAGCAGTTTCCCAATTCCATGTCTACTGTTATTATACCCACATGGTGCTGAACTGTTATATTTGCAGGAGTTTGGGAGTCTGTGAGCTCTTGACATTGAATTGAATTGTAATATTAGACGAAATTAATCTTCCTATTATCTTTGCTTAAATTACATCTCTGATTGTGTTGAATATGCTTTACTTTTTACATAAAACTGCTCTTTCAGTTTTGATAGTGATTTGATTTTTTCTATACTTATACTATAAATAAATGCTATTATACATTTTTCTTTGTTTTACATAAGAAATAATGTTTTTCTTTTTTTCCTCTTCATCTCTGTGCATATGCTTCCTGTCTACGATTTGCTTACTACTTCTTATTGAAAGATCAAGCAGGTTGGTGTGATTGATTTGCACTCCCCATGGTACAATTATTTAAACTATAAAGAACTTTGTCATTTAACTATATTACATTTTTAAAAAAATTTAATGATTTTTTAACAAGGTAAGTATCCACCTTTTGTATTTAAAAAATCTTTCAACTTTAGCTTAAAAAAAAAACTTCCATTTTTTTCTAAATAATTTTTTAAAAATTTATTTCCCTTGTTATTGACTTAAATATTAGGAACATTTTTTTATTTCCAAAAGATCTTTTTAGCAGAACAATTCAGAAGTATTAGATTGACAGTGACAGACACACAGGATGTGCTAGACCTAATTAACAGCAGAGACAAAAATAATGTATCATCAGAACTAGATGGCATAATCTTTTTTCCTAAAATTTTAAGACCCATTAAGCCAAATTTTGGAAATACAAATATAAATGATTTCAGGCATTTTTTTTTTTTTTTTTTAGTGAGGAATCAGATGCTTGGTTACTTATGCCCATGGGTGTTCATATAGTGAAAATGAAATTCAATTAACACTTTTCTGAGATTCTTCCCTTTAACTGTACCTTGCCAGTGTCCCCCTTCACAGTTTTGGATAGAGCACATGGCACAGGGCAATTAAAAATATATTTATCTGAAAGTTTGTGCTGAATTCTGTTATGCAGTATTAGAAGCATTTTTTTGTTTGGTTGGTTTTGTTGAATGAAATTTTAAAAAATTAATGTAAAAATGACTTTTAGTGATTTCATGTTTTCAAGTGCCTGGTTATAAGAGTTGGTACATATCTACATTTAGCTTTAAATATTATTTGAAGAGAAATATAATGATTTATTGGAGTAATTCTGGCAATAATATATTGCGAAATACTAGATTTTTGAAACTGAACCTAGCTATATATACATGCTTATTTTTGTGAAAATGTTACAAGAGCACAATAAGATCTTTGTTGCTAAAACATCAGTTTGAAAATATTACCTGAGTGATTTTTAATAACTAATGCAATTTAATTATAGTAGTAATTCATCAGTAGGCATGTGCTTTTGTATTTCTAAATATAAAATCTTTATTTTATTGATTTTTTACAGAGAGGAAGGGAGAGGGTTAGAGAGTTAGAAACATCAATGAGAGAGAAACATTGATCAGCTGCCTCCTGCACACCCCTTACTGGGGATGTGCCCACAACCAAGGTACATGCCCTTGACTGGAATCGAACCTGGGACCCTTCAGTCCGCAAGCCGATGCTCTATCCATTGAGCCAAACCGGTTAGGGCTAAATATAAAATCTTTTTATTCTATTGCCTCTTAATGGTCTTGGAAACTATATGGTGGTTTAGTGTGTGTGTGTGTTTTTTTTAACATATTATTATTGATTTCAGAAAGGAAGGGGGCGGGGGGAGAGAAACATCAATGATGAGAGAGAATCATTGATCAGCTGCCTCCTGCATGCCCCCTACTGGGGATTGGCCTGCAACTCGGGCATGTGCCCTTGACAGGATTCATACTGGGATCCTCAGTCTGCAGGCTGATGCTCTTCTCCACTGAGCCAAACCGGCAAGGGTGGAAACTATATGCCTTTAACTATTGACAATTAGAAGCCTGGAAGCGTAAAAAAATTAATGTACATATATTGACCAGATCATTTCTTTTATACCATTAATATCCATGTCTTCACACATACAGGATTGTTGTTTTCTCCCCTTAACATATTTGCTGGGTTTTTTTCTTTAAATATTTGAAATTCTGAGGTAGAAAGGAAGCTATAATTTATTATGCATGCCACTTACATTATACCTGAACCTACACTTTTCCCCCTCAAATTTCTAAGAAATAGTACTATCAATAGGAAATTCTTTGGGAATAGGGATTAGATCACTTTTCTAAATTATCTTTTAATAGTGTTATTCAGAACATTCAATACAGGTGACTGTGCCAAAGAAGCCAATAGAATCAGGTCTACATCCTGACTTTTGGAATGCAATGAATCACACCATACCAGAGCATGAATTTGGATCAGTGCTTTTATTTAATCTTTTATTTAACTTATTTGTTTCATGGCTTAAGTTTGCTTCAGACGTATATTTATTTAGAAATGAAGGGTAATATATTTTAAATTAAACCCTTGGGTTTTTTACTATAGTTTTATCCTAAAGAATTGAAGCCTATGCATGATTCTTTGTCTCATGGTTTCCGAAAGAATATATTCAGATAATATCTATCTCCATCATCATTATTTTTCAGTTCCTTTTCCTTCTTAGGAGGAGGGGTTAGCTTTTGGGTGGAGACATTAACAACTGAGAAAGTCTTCTGGTTTATACTCTTCTGTGGTCCTTGGGAAAGAAGTTAAAAAATACAGAAAGCTCTCAGGAGAGCCTCAGGCCAATTCTATGAAAAGTTTGATCATTTTTCTGAAGGAAAGTGTGTTTCAAAGAAAGTATATTTATTACCAGAAATGAAAGATCTTTGACTCAGTTTCATAAGCAGCTTAATATGCTAGTTTTATTTTCTCTCTTTGATTTTGCATTTCAACCTCATGATTTTGAAATTCTTTCAATAAACTTTTGTTGTTGTTAATCGTCACCCGAGGATATTTTTCCATTGATTTTTAGAGGCAGTGGAAGGGAGGGGGAGAGAGAAACATCGATGTGAGAGACATGTTGATTGATTGCCTCCTGCATGGCCCCAACCAGGGCCGGGTGGAGCCTACAACTGAGGTATGTTCCCTTGACGAATCGCACTGGGCACCCTTCAGCCCCAGAGCCAACACTCTATCCACTGAGCCAAACAGTCTAGGGCTCATTCAATAAACTTTTATTGAATATTTATAACACTCAATTTAGCACTTTTATTCACACTATTATTTGTATATTAAGCACTCTACTTACTAGAATTATAATCAAAGTAATCAATTGGAAACTGTGTTTCCAGCTTGATTATTTTGTAATATTTCTACTTATAGTTAATATTTGTACTTAATGTGACAGATTTAGGGTCCTGTGTTTGATATAATAATGAGTTATTTTAGTTTTTCATTTAAAATATGACATCATGACAGCTCAGCAACTATAAAATGCCTGGTTAATTATTATGTAACTATTATATAATTAGTATAGACTTTTTTCCTTTAAAAGCATACCATGAAATAAAATACTTTCCAGTAATTTTATTAAACAAAATTTTATAAGTACTCTGAAGATATATACTAAAAACTACTTGGTATAAGTTCTGACTGATATTTTTATCTGTTCATTTTATACATATATGTGGCTTTTACTTATTTATTTAAATAAATTATAGGGAAGTATTTTGGGAAGCCACTTTATTTTGTACCTGGTTATCAGAAAAAAGTAACTAAATAATCATATTGCTTTTCCCACCATATATGTTATTTTGGGACACACAGATCTGTGTTTTTTTGTTTGTTTGCTTTGGCTTTCCTGTTAATCTTTCTCTTTTTTTTTTCTGCTCATCTGTTTTGCTCCTCTTTTACTTACTTTTGTCCTAATCATTGCACAATTGGAAAACAGTTTGAATTTAGCAATTAGTTTAAAAGTTCTTCTAAGAACATAAATTATTCATTTGATTTCCTTAAAATGTTAATATTTGATCTTATATTACTGAGGAATGTACCTTTTTTAAAAATGAAGAGAATCTACTAGTATACTGGTCTGAAACATTGACTCTAAAGTGATTGTTGGATAATTGAATGACTCAAACAGGTAAAAAGAAAGTTTCCCCTGATAAGATGGTTGAAATGCAAGCAAAAATTGATGAAGAGAGAAAAGCACTTGAAACAAAGCTTGACATGGAAGAAGAAGAAAGAAACAAGGCTAGGGCTGAATTAGAGAAACGGGAAAAGGATCTTCTTAAGGCCCAGTGAGTAGTACTGAATTGATGTAGATTTGTGTTTTAAATTTATTGTATTTTTCCGAGGACTTATGTATAAGGAAAAAAATTGAATAATAATTAAAAGCTTGATTTTTATCTCCAGTGTAGCTATTTTTGGATAGACGGTTTCATTGTGTATGTTGATTTCTGAAAATTACATGTTTTGATTATTTCCTCTCTTTGTGGGAGGAAAAATTTTAAGTGAATTTGAATTAGTTATAGATCAAATCATACAGTAATGAATTATCCAATGGTATTATTTGATAGAGATGTTGCATAACCATATTCCTATTATGAAATTTTGCATCCAAACTCATTAAATTTTGGTAAATGATATTGGTACAATAGTAGATAATTGATGAATATAGAGTATTCTCATTTTAATCAACAGACAAGAGCATCAGTCTTTGCTAGAGAAATTATCCGCACTGGAGAAGAAGGTAATTGTTGGTGGTGTTGATTTATTGGCGAAAGCTGAGGAACAAGAGAAACTTCTTGAAGAATCTAATATGGAACTGGAAGAAAGGAGGAAAAGAGCAGAGCAACTTCGAAGAGAATTGGAGGAAAAAGAGGTATCTTTTTGGTTCTGGTTGACATTTTTTTTCTAGAGAAAAGCTAAATATAATTTTAATAACATTTTACAGCAGACCCGTGGGTTGCTTTGAAGATGGCTGCTAAACATATTATTTGTTAAATATGCATATATGCACAACCAACAGACGCAAGACACTGGGGGCGAGGAGGCGAGGGCAAGCGCCGGGGTGGGGGTGGGGAGGCCGGGGGGGAAGTAAGTGGGGGGGGGAAGAGACATATGTACTATTTGTAATACCTTAAACAATAAAATTTTAAAAATAAATTTGTGATTTAAAGAATAAATTATTCTGAAGTTTATAAATTTTTCTCATAGCAAGAACGCTTGGATATTGAAGAAAAATATACCAGTTTGCAAGAGGAAGCACAGGGAAAGACCAAAAAATTAAAGAAAGTTTGGACTATGCTGATGGCTGCAAAGTCAGAGGTTGGTCTCTTAGAAATTACTTACTAATGTAGTTCTGAATTTTAAAAAAATAATTATTTTATTAAGTATGATTAAGAATCCGAAAGGAATCATGTGTGCTTACAATTTTAAAGAAATAAAAATTTATCCTTGATGTGCAGTTTTTAATTTTAGCTCTTAAATTAAATTTCTGACCTTAACTAATAATGTGAAAAAGACATTGTGAGGCCCTGGCCAATGTGGTTCAGTTGGTTGGAGCATCGTCCTGTATATCAAAAGGTGGTGGGTTTGATTCCCTGTCAGGGTGCGTACAAGAGACAACTGGTTGATGTTTCTCTCACATCGATGTTTCTCTCTCTCTCTCTCTCTCTCTCTCTCTCTCTCCCTCTCTCTCTCTCTCTCTCTCTCTCTCTCGAATAAAATACAATAAAATAAGACATTGTTAGTGTCATTCTGTCCATTGTTTTAGTGAAAGAACTGGGTAAGCCCTTACAGGGTTTCTATGTCAGATTGAACTATTTTGTATTTAAAATCTTGTTTGTCCTTAATATTTTCATTGATTTTCTCATAGATGGCTGATCTCCAACAAGAACATCAGAGGGAAATTGAAGGTCTATTGGAGAACATTCGACAACTTAGCCGGGAGCTTCGGCTTCAGATGCTTGTTATTGATAACTTTATACCTCAGGATTACCAGGTAAGAAGAAAGTTCTCTGACCTAGATATTAGGTCACTTGGCTGGGGTTAAGAAATAAGGAAATACAATTTGTCATTTAATTGGTGGTAAATACTTACATTTCAGTTGTTGACGATATAATTTTCTTGAACCAATGCCATAACATTTCACTTTAGCTATTAACTTTTCTTAGTACATAACTCTGTTTGAGTATCTAAGTATCTAAATAAGAACTTCTCAGTCCTTTAGAGAAATCCAGATTCATTTATAGAAGGTGCTTAAATAACATTGTTTCTGTCATCGTTGTTATATCATTGATGAGAAGAATAAAAAAATTGATTCCCAGCCAGGGCCACTGTCTGTATGGAGTTGGCATGTTTACCTCATGTTTGTATGGGTTTTCTCTGGGCCTTCAGGTTTTCTCCCACATCCCAAAGATGTGCACGTGAAGTGAATGGCATGTCTACATTGCCCCAGTCTGAGTGAGTGTGTGTGTGTGGTGTGCCCTGTGATGGAAGGGCATCCTGAACAGGGCTGGCTTTCACCTCGTGCTCTCAGCTGCTTGGACAAGCTCCAACAGCCAGTGAATATTTTTCCCTGAACTGGATGAGCCAATTGGAAAATAATGATCTTAATCTTTCATATATATATAATTATCACATTTATTTCAGTGTTTAATATTAGTAGTTTGGGGTCTTTATTTAGAAGTTTGGTAATGTTTTTGTGACCAGAAATATAGACACTTAACTCTTGTTTATATCAGTTAGCCTATGATAAAATTGGCTTTATTATATACATCATTTACCTTAACGTCACAGCTTCTAAGAACCGAACAAAACCTTAAGTGAGGACTTAATGTAGTCACAGTCAGAATCAAGATATAGCTGCTGTTTATTCATTCAGTGTCCTTTATCCTATGAATAAAATAAGCAGAACTCCTGTTGGAACTTTTTCTCCCTGCTTATGGATGCTAATTCTCTGTGTGTGGTTGTGGGGGTAAAATATACATAACATGAAATGTACCATTTTAAGTATTTTTAAGAGTACAATTCACTGACATTAAGTATACTCATAATGTTGTACAACCGTCATTATTTTCCATTTCCAGACAGATGCTAATCCTTAATACTAATATAATTTGAGAAGCTCAGCCTCTTTACTCAAAATATTCATCTTTCTAGTACATTTTAGTAAACTTTAACATATTGATTTTTTAAAAATTTACTTTGAATCTCTATACAGCTGTAAGCAGTTTGTCTAAAAATAAGCCGTAGTATTTTTTCCTTTGAACATCAAGTGTATAGAATTAACCTTTGGTTCTTGGTACACCCTCCTTATTGGCCCTGGAAGGCCTCCTTTGATTTAATTTGTTATTTTGTAGTGAACTCATCACCTCAAAACAAAAGCTAGGACCATATAGTAACCTACTTCCAATCAAATGATTCCCTCTTCCTCTTCCCTCCCTTTGCCTCTTCCAACTCAAGGTAACTTTCATTCTGAATCATGTTCTTCATCTCCTTGCTTTTTATTTTTATATAGTTTAATTGCATCTACATATATTTCTTAAAAGCATATATTTTTAAATTTATAACAAGTGTATCATGCAGTACATAATTGAGACAAAATTTCCCCCATAATTTATTAAGATTTTAGTTTCATGAATATTTTTCAGTGTTTTAAGTATTATTAAATATTAAAAGTAGACTATCTTTGACTCTTAAAAGGAAATGATTGAAAACTATGTCCATTGGAATGAAGACATAGGAGAATGGCAGCTAGTGAGTATTACCTTCATCCTTTCATGGAATCCTTGTGGAGTACTACCTGTAGTCTAGGAATTTTGCTGGCTCCAGTGGGGGGAGAGGTGGTCCATAGGATGAATCAGATGAGACTGCAGTAGGGTGGAGATGTTTTTCTAATTAACTATATTATAATACACAGAATATTCAGTGGAAATGGCATGGGCAGGGCTACATAGTACCAAAGGACTTCCAGGTCCCTTTCTGTTCCAGCATTCAAATTATGTTTCATGAGTGTAACATCAGTAGATCTCACAATAATTTGCTAATTCACAGTATTAATGGCTAATTAAAACAATTCTCCTCTGTCTCTTTTTCCCCCCCTCAAGAAATGTGTTGCCTACACAGGAAATAACATGAGGAAGCAAACTCCAATTCCTGATAAAAAAGAGAAAGATGTAAGAGTGCTTTTAAAAAAAATTACAGTGTAAAATATTTACAGGGCTGTGGGTCACTAAGTTATGTGATCAACATGGAATCAGTCAGATGTGCTAAAACAAGTAGATTTTGGGGAGTAGAGGCTCTTGGATGGGGCGGTTGTTAGGACAGTTTTGATGGCAGGCGGAGTTCCTCCTCCAAAGAGTGGCATGGAATCTTCTCTGGACTCCCTCTTTTCACCACCTTTCTGGGTCATGGGGATGTGTTTAGCAACCAGAATGTCCTTTTCAAAGCTAGTCTTAGTCTTGGGCCCACAGGAGGAGATAGCAGCTTTAGGGAAAGCAGCAACAGTTCTGCTTTGCTGCTAAGGAGTTTATGGTGTGTCAGGGCTCACTCACCAACCCTGGCTGAATACATTTGAGATCAGTGGAGTTAAAGAAGATGTCTTTAGATACTTGTTTCGTCTTGTCTTCTGTGGCTTTTTTCTAGAGTTTGTTCAGGGCTTTAAATCTTCCCCCAAATCTGATTTGTCTGGTGCTGGTTTCCTTTACTTAAGCCCTTTGAAGTGGACCTTTCCCACGTGTATCTTGCCTACACCGAGGAGAGCCTGCGACAGTCCCTGATGAAATTGGAGAGGCCAAGGACTTCAAAGGGGAAAGCAAGGCCAAAGACAGGGAGAAGGTAAGACTGTCTTAGAGTCCCACGAAATCAAGGCAGTGAGATGCTAATTAGATATATTTAAAGGAAATTTAGTTAAGATGATAAATATTTTGGCTGATACATTTAAATATCACAATTCTTGCCCTGACCTGCATTGTTCAATGGTTAGAGTGCCCACCCCTGCACTGAAGGGTCTCGGGCTCTATTCCTGGTCAAGGGCACATACTCGGTTTCAGGTTCCATCCCCAACCCTGGTTGGTCTGTGTGCAGGAGGCAACCTGTCGATGTGTCTCTCTCTCTCATCAATGTCTCTCTCTTTCTCTCTCTCTCTCCTCTCTTTGCTTTCTCTTTGTCTGTCTCCTCCTCCCCTCCCCCTTCCAGTCTCTGAAAATCAATGGAAAGAATATCCTCTGGTGAGGATTGACACACACACAAATGTTCTTATTAGTTATGATTTGAGTAAATAACATCTTGCTGAAGAATTAAGGTCTTCCAACGTCTTTAGTTGTATTGAGTAATAGATTTTATTTTATTTTATTTTTTATTTATTTATTTTTTTGAAATCTATTTTTATTGATTTTTTACAGAGAGGAAGGGAGAGGGATAGAGAGTTAGAAACATCGATTAGCTGCCTCCTGCACACCCCCCACTGGGAATGTGCCTGCAACCAAGGTACATGCCCTTGACCGGAATCGAACCTGGGACCCTTCAGTTCACAGGCCAATGCTCTATCCACTGAGCCAAACTGGTCAGGGCTAGATTTTATTTTTAATGTATTTCGTTCTTTCCAAGATATCTACTATCTTAATTCCTTAATTCTTACACTAATTCTTCTAGTGAGACGCTAATTAATTTGCCTGGTTAGACTCTTAAGTATTACATTCAGCTGATTTGTTTTTCTATCATAAACATTGTCCCAATCACCTGATGTCCTCAGCCACCAATTAAAACTTCTCTGACCATCTTTTCTTCTCCTTTGGGGGCTGGTTTGGCTGTTGAGTAGTCTGTATGTGCCACCACATAAGCCCAGGGAACCAGGACGTGAGAGGCTGGAGCTTATTCTTCTCCCTCTGCCCTCCATCAAGTGCTGTTGAGCTTATTTAAACTGATTGTGAGACTTTGGGGCTCCTGAAATGAGAGGGAATAGTAAGCTTATTATACCCCCTGCTTTGAGCACTTGGATTTTTGAGTTACATGTAAGGTGAGGTTGTATGGGTTTAATATTTTCTTGTTGCATGATCTCATAGACATGACCTAACGTTTATAAATTTGGGATAGTTGAACTCAAGGAGGAGGAATCAGTACCATATTAAAAGTGCACAAATTTTACATTCTTTAGCATTTATGTGCTAGGGGTTAAAAACTCTTCATCTGTCAGCAGAAGCCATGCATTAATGAATGAAGCATAGCAGTTCAAAGAAACATGAATCTCTTTAGACCTTTCACTTTACCACTTTTAATAGAGATACTTTCCTCTTAACTCTGAAGTTAGTAAGAAAACTAACAATGTAAGTGTGATGATAAATGGTAAGACAATTGGCTTCAGTGTAGGTGAAAAATAGGCAGCAGTGGGGAGGGGACAAAATGGAGAGTAGTCTGTTTGAAATGAGTGGCTGCTACCTTGCTCCTAGTTAGTTTTGGGACTAGAGGGCCCATTGTTTCCAACGCCTCTTGTTTCAAAGAAGAAGCCAGAAATCAAATTATTTAAATGAGATCTCTCCATTTTTAGTCACTTTTTAAGAACGATGTGGACCTAAAGCAAACAAACAATTTAATGTTATTTGGATACAGTTTTCAGAATACTCATTTAAAAATATGTACCTTTTTGTTAAACGAACAAAACAAAACAAACATGTGAGCCAACATTACATTAGCCAAACCCACCATCTCTGTGCATCAGAATTAGCCTGCTGTATTATGAAAACAATAGATGGCCTTAAACACAGACAAATATACACATTAAATGGTTTATTGATATTATATTACATGATAATGTTCAATGTATGTTTCTCATTAGAAATGCATAGTGCAATATGCTGAGCAAAATTGCAATAAACATGGTACATTAATGTAGCATTTACATCAGTCCCTACATGTGCATCTGTACTGTATTGCCTCAGATGATGTTGTCTCTGAATAAACCCGCACCTTTAGCCTACCCTGGAAGAGATCATCAGCAGGTTCAATCTGGCAAGCATGCAGCCACTTGGCCTGGCTGTGTTGTCTAGTCCAGTTTTGGAAATTATCATCCACTCAATTTCTCACCTGTCTGGGTGGAGGGTGGAGTGCCATGATCTTGCACCTATTCTTGGTGACCTTTCCCTAGCCTGAAAAAATGGGCATGAATTGATCTCTTAACATGGTCAAACCTTGGCCTGGTTCTAGACTCTATGCCCCCTTGTTTTATCTTCTACATAATGTAAAGTGTTTGCATTTCAGTCTTTTAGGAAAGTCTTCATGTTTTCTTTTTCTCTTCTCCAAACAGAAAGCGTTCTGCAAAGCCTGAAACTGTAATTGACTCTTTACTTCAGTAAATGTTACAGACTTAAAGTCTCAATAAAAATATCACTATCCTCATGCCTGGACAAAATATTTAATTAAAACACTGAAGACTTTTGTGTAATTTCAAGTAATGAAAGCTGTAAGTCATGGAGTGAGACTGGAAGTAGTAATTTCTCTAATAATTTTTAGTCTATATATGCCAATATAACATTGAAATTGCACAACTGGTAATTGTTCAAATAGTCATATTACTCTTCATTTTATACTATGCAGGGAAGTTGGGGGAGCAGCTCCTACTATAGAGAGTTGCTGTCGAAATGTATTCATAAATCTGCTAGTAATTTGCTCAACTTCTGTGTATTTACATAACTGGATGTTCAAAATAGAATAAAATGTAGGTCCTGTCTTGCACATAGACAGCGGTTCTAATTGTCCTATGTTTTGCTGTTATATATGAATGTTTGAGCTGCGTATCTAAGAAATGATTCAATCCTAACGCCCGCCCTGCCTGTTTAAATATGTTCTCATTTTTGTGTTATCTTTATTGCATTTTAAGTATTAGATGACCTGTAGAAAATTTATAATTTACAGTCAATCTTTACAAGAACACGTAGAAAATATGTTTGAACTGTACCTCTCTTGACCTTTTTTGCCATTTAGAGTTTAAATCAAATATACTTTTGTTCTGGTTTCATGTTCTCTTAAAACATTGAGTATGTACCTAATTATAAAGGAGTCACAGTTGCAGGAAATTAAGCTAAATACTGGTCACTAGTCTTTGCTGTATGTGTATATTTTTTAAAATTTATTTTGAAGTGTGATTAATGGATGCTTCCTTTTAAGTTGTAAATTGTGATGAAAATTGAGTCTCCATTTCCCAGAAAGTACAACTAAAGCAAGAAAAATAGCTTTTAATCCTCTACCTTTAAAATACTTTATTTTGTTTTTTCTTTATAGTTTATTAAATGAAATATTCTTCCCTAAATTTCTTCCATTGACAAATCCAGTCAGACCATCTTCCTCTAAAAATAAAAATAATATTTATTTTATAGTAAAATAACTTGTAACATATAGAATTGTGTTTTCCTTTTTGGCTGCTTACAAAATTTTTGTTTTTATTTTTTAATGTTATGTTACACCACTTAATATATCTTTTGTGAATTTTAAAATAAATTAGTATTAAGTTAACGTTAGTTTAAGAAGCTTGGTTAAATGGTTTATAATTACAAAGCCATGTATAGAGTGGGGTGAGTAAAGGTGGTGTACTTGTGAGGTGGTAGTAAAACTGTGTCCATAAATTTAAAGTACGTGACAAAGGTGTGTACTGAATGCCCTGGGTATGGTGCATATTTTCTAGGTAATAAGAATTGCATTTAACTGGTAGCGTTTTCTTTGTAGTATGTAAGATAGACGTTTATAACTTTACTCTGTGAGGCAACTGTTTACGTACTGTGAAGACTTGAGGTAGATCCGTGTCTTGTAAGAGCTTTGTGTGAGCAGAATATTTTGGCAATTGTAGATGCACATTTAACTGTTAGTAATTACTCTATGGAAATCTTAATTTTACCAATAGAAAGAAAAGATGAATACTTCTTCTTTTTAGAAGTTCATGTTTATCTCCTTTAACTATCTAGTTAATAAGAAAGGAATAGCTTTTACATTAAGCTCTAAAACAGCACAGAAAACTTAAGCCAGTATGTTAGATTGTTTTCTATTCCACTCCACTATAATAACAAAAAGAAACCTATAAAAAGTCAAAGCATTAAAAATTTTTTAAAAAATAGGCTACCTTAGCAGTTTTTTAAAAGTATTTACATTAGAACTTATTATACCAGATGGACAATAGTTGTTCATCTTATGAAATACCAAAATTATATATTTAGGCAGGCCTGACTCATCCGTATGAAAACATGGGACACTGACTTGACAGCGATTCTCTTAGCTCCAATCATAGCAGCAGTTCTGTGGTTTCTTCACACTTACTGTGTCTTTGTGCACAAATAAAATATTTTGTAACTTCAATGTTAATTTCATATAAGGATATAGATAAGCAAACTTGCTCATTATATGAAATAGACGGACTTAAAATGAGTGGCACATATAAATAGGTTTTTGAATGGGTATTTTCTTTTCTCTTTAGTTTTAAAAAGCATTATTTATTTATTAAAAGGAGCCTTGGTAGAATGTTATTGGTTGTGGTATATTCTTTAATAAGCCCTGTAATTATATATACTGATAGTTAGGATATTAAAATATCATCGTAGTCCTCATTTTTGTTTAGGTGCTTGTATTAAAGTATAAGATTACTCAAGGAGGGAGGTCTGAATCCATGTGTTTACCCCACAAATAGAATCCATTTGATCTACTTTCTAGGAAAAGGGGACCTTTCTTTTTGCAGCAAGAGATTTAAGGTCACTTGGGATTGGGGGGGGGTGCCACTTCATCTGTAAGATTTTTAGAAAAATTATGATTTTGGGGTTTTGTTTCTTCATAGTCTTTTTAAAATGTCTTTCCCCTTGACTCTTAAGGAATGTCCCTCTCTTTCCTACAGGGCTGTGAATTAAGGAACTGGTAGGGTGTACATTTAAGCACTCCAGTGTCTGCCCAATTTCTTAATATATGCATTTGTTTTCCTTTTTAGCTATTTTTAATTTAAAATACTAGAACAAAACATAGATCTTCCTAGTGCCTTTGAACTTACACTGTAGTCTGACTAGTTTAAATCATTAATAACTTCAGTAGCATTGCTATAATACTGTATACTGGTCTAAATTACAAATTGTACAATAAATTTGTTGCATTAATTTCAAAAGCCCCACTTCCATTGTATTTTATGTATAAATTGTATTTGTTCAAGTTGTACATATTGATATTGTATATACATGTGCAGCATGGTTAAATAAGAAATAAAAGTGTTTACATAATGCCTGTAGTAGCGTTCTGCTTCTTTATTGAACTATTTTGTGTTTATGTCCATCCTGATATTAACAGGCAGTTTTTTGTACTTGGCATCTCAGTTTCATGTGTTTAAGAGAGGCCTGTTTAGCCCTAGCCAGTTTAGCTCTGTGGTTAGCGCGTCGGCCTGTGGACAAAAGGGTCCCGGGTTCGATTCTGGTCAAGGGCACATACCTTGGTTGCAGCCTCGGTCGGAGAGCATGCGTGGCAAGCATTCAATCAGTGTGTGTCTCTCACATTGATGTTTCTCTCAGTCTCTCCCCTACCTTCCACTCTCTCTAAAAATCAATGAAAAAAAAATCCTTGGGTGAAGATAAACGAGAGAGATAGAGATAGAGAGAGAGAGAGAGAGGGAGAGGGAGAGAGAGAAACACACCTATTTAATTTCACACCCAGAAACTGTCATGCTGGTGTGAGTCTTTAACAGAAAATAGGAAGAGAGATTTTTAAATGTGCTTCTCATGGATAAAATTAGTTTTCACCAAAAATATTTTTATCCAAGTTTTGTTATTCTTTTCATTAGTGTTGAGAACAGAAATGTAAATAAGTATGTGTGCAGAATGTATCTCACTAAAAGGTAAAAGGAGACATTTTTGAGTGGTGGCAATATCATGATCTCTTCACAATTTTAATGAGATTAAAATATCTCCAAAAACAATATCATTGCCTGGGTTAGTATTAATCATGGGTTCTTTTGATAACTACTTAATGATTACCAAGCACCATGCTAGAGCCTGATCGTTACAAAGGGGTCCAGAAGTTCTGATTTGTTGGCAAGTTTCAAAGAACTTGTGTGCTTTTTGCAGAGGAGAGGAGACATTTCAGGGCTTGCTCTCTTCCTTGTCCCGACTGCTAGCTTATGTAAAACTCTAATATGTGTGTAGAACATGAAGATAAAATTAAAGACCTGCCCTGGCGTCAGCAACATGTTGTCCATCCCATCTTCTCATGAAAACCCCCAGAAATCAAAGCAAAAACCCCAGTATCAGCCTAAGGGACCTCAGTAGCCTGTGCCTAGGGGAGCAGTGACAGGGCTCTGAAGCCACAACTTACAGCCAGCCAAGCCCTCCCTCTGAACACATTTGTTACAACATTATCTGAATGTCGCATTCTTCAGCCGTGTCATTTGCAAAGCAAATCAGATACTCAGTCCTCCTTCGGAAGTTGAACAAACGTGTGGGAAAATGATTATGAAGAGGCTACTTCAAAAAGAACCAGTTTCCTCTCAGCATTTATCTTGGGCTTCCTGTGACCCGATCTTCAAGCTGCTTTTATCAACGTGATCAGAACATCACTTTTCTTACCCAAACACGTTTAGGGCCCTCACCAAAGAATATGGCAGATCAGACATCCTTCCACACCTGCTCCCCTCCCCCATCCCTGTTTTGAGGGTGGGGGAAATTTTAGTTTTTAATCAAAGGCTTTATTTCTCCAGTTGTACAAAGGAATTTAACTGGGACTTTACAAGTAAATACAATGTGTCTCAGAGTTGATACCAATCTTAGCAAGAGGATATTGCCTAACTCAACCTAAAAGTACAGAGTCATTACAGAAATACTGTGCTGACCTTGATTTCTCCTCCGTCCTGAGTTATGCTGCTCAGTCACCAGGTGTCTTCTGGATTTACCGTGTACCCACCCTGCGCTGTGGCCACGTAAATGGAGAATGACAGCGCATGTTGAGGGCTGTCGTAAAGGAGGGTGAAGGGGGAGCTGCCAGGCGTGGCATTCTTCCCTAGCAGCTAACACGGCGCCTAGCACACTGCCTGACCAAAAGGCCAGAAGGCTGTTCTTCCAGGGAACGGCTGTGAGAGGTGGGAGGCAGTCCAACATGCAGAGAAAGGCAGTCCAGGCCTGAATCCTGATGCCCTGTGCCTCGGTGGTAAGTTGGGCAAAAGGGGTGGGACAATGGAGCCTGAACAGGAAGGAGAGGCAGGCTCCTGCTGTGAGTTTTCTGTAAGCAGCGGGAAGCCACGGGGGATTTTAAGTGATCACTCGCATTGTGTTTTACAGAAAGTACTGCTGGAAAGACGGTGAAGGATTAGGTGGGGCGCTGGGAGAGCAGATGATGTCACACTGTGTGCTGGAGACTGCACTGGCTGTGAGCCAGAGGAGCCAACCTCCCCCTCCTCCGCTGGCTCTCTTGCGCTCGGCTGGTACCTCGATGACCAACACCTGCACCTTCACTTCTCTTTACTCACATTGCCTAGCAGTTACCAGTGTGCGGTCAGCACACAAGACACCAGTACATGCTTGTGTTTGGGCTTACACTGGCTATTGGAAACAAGAAAGGGATAGACTGCTTGGAGACTGGAAGTCGAACTAGGAAGAAGTGGCCAGGAAGGACGCATTAGAAGATAAACACTTCAGAGAGCTGAAGAGAGAATGTCGGAGTGCTTGGGGCAGAGACCGTTCAGGAAATACTAGGCATGACAGGAACAGGAGTTTCCACCTGGGAATGGGAGCCCTAATGAGCTGCAAGTTGAACCAATGAATCAGCCCCGAGAGCAGCGGTTCTCAACCTTGGCTGCACATTAGAATCACCTGGGAATCTTCTTAAAATCCTGATTTCTGGGCCTCATCCTCTGGAAATTCTGTTTCTTTGTTACTTATGTTGTGGCCTCACCCCATAAGAAAGAAACAGAATTTCCGGAGGATGAGGCCCAGAAATCAGGATTTTAAAAAGATTCCCAGGTGATTCTAATGTGCAGCCACAGTTGAGAGCCACTGGACTAGAATAAGTGCTTGCTCCACCTCTGGGGAAGCTGGTAGGAACGGGAGCCCACCCTGCATGCTAAGAGGCCGCGGCGCCCTGTTCCCTGAGACAGCTGTGCACACACTGCAGCAGGCTTCCTCAGTCTTAGATGGTCGGGCGTCCTGAGAGGCCGAGGGACATGATGTGGGGAAAGGTGGGGGGAAAACGGCCAGTTAACCGGATGGACACATCCATCAATAGCAGCAGCAAGAGAGCCCCTGATGCATTTTATCGAGGCCAACATTTCTAATTGGGCCAAGAATGTCTCAGTAAACGTCAGTCAGCCATAGATTGAGTGAAACTTGTTTTTTCTCTTATTAGGTGGCATGGTTTTTTTAAAAATTACAGTTTATATTCAGTATTATTTTCTGTTAGTTTCAGGGGTACAGCATAGTGTTTAGTGGTTCTCAACCTTCCTAATGCCGTGACCCTTTAATACCGTTCCTCATGTTGTGGTGAGCCCCAATTTCATTGTTACAAATTGAACATAATTTAGCATAGTGATTAATCACAAAAACAATATGTAATTATATATGTGTTTTCCAATGGTCTTAGGTGACCCCTGTGAAAGGGTCGCAACCCACAGGTTGAGAACCGCGGGAGACAGACATTTACTTTGCAAAGTGATCCCCCTGATATTTCCAGTACCCACCTGGCAACATACATAGTTATTACAATATTATTGACTATATTCCCTATGCTGTACTTTCCATCTCCGTGACTGTAACTACCAATTTGTACTTCTTAATCCCTTCACCTTTTTCACCCACACCCTCACCCACCTCCCCTCTGGCACCCTTCAGTTTGTTCTCTGTATCTATGAGTCTGTTTCAATTTTGTTCATTTATTTTCTTTAGATTCCACATATAAGTGAAATGGAAATGTTTTTTTCTTTCACTTATTTGTTCAATAGGTATTTATTATCTAATAATGCCAGTTAGAGATATAGTATATTCACAGGTAAAAGGTAGGAGGTAGCTGCTAGCGGGAGGAAGGGGTTCAACCTTCGCTGTCACCGTCACCCATTCCATGGCAAGAGGCATGTTACATGAAGCAGGCATGGGCTGTGGCTAAGTTTCCTAAGTGAATGTGCTTAAATGACAAGCATCTCAACTTTCACTTAATCCTAAAGTTCCTTCACTCATACTTTTGATGTGTGGCCTCAATTCATGTTGTCTCACTCCCTTGGTAAACAAGGGCTTATTGTTGAGTGTTTCCACCCAGAGCCCAGCATCACTTGTCAGGAAGTAAGTAGAGAGTTAGTTGCATCGTAACCATTGAAGCTTATCTTATGACAGGCCTGCCTGGAGCCCGCCTCTGTCCTTGCTGTGGCCCATCTAGAACACCTCTTCCCCTCAGCCCTTCTCTACCACCCTGGCCTCACACACAAACTGCAGCCCACAGCTCATATCCTGTGGCAGACTACAGCTCACATTAGCCATTGAATGCAAATGTGCCTCAATCAAAGAAGAAGGGAAACTCACATTTCAGTGGGGCCTTAAAGGCTCCATGACTTAGTTCCTGGTTGCCCTGGGCATGCTGGTATTTTATGTGGGCAGGGTGAAACTGGCTGTGGTCAGGGTGAGACTTTAAGCTTTTGATTTGTTCCCTTATTTTGAAAGAGTTAAAAAGATGTTACATGTGTTGGTATAATTTTAGTACGAGTATTAATTTTTATCACGTGTAAGGGAAGATGAAAAGAATGCTCATTCACTGTTTTAGATCCATATTCTTGCAGAGAACACGTCTTCAAAAGGCAAGTTTCCGTGACTTGACACTTATTTTCTTCCTTTAATTTTTTAAAATAACGGCTTTATTGAGATGTATATGAGCAGCCAGTATTCTCCATTTTGCCTCTGTGGATTTGCCTCTCCTGGACATTTCATATAAATGGGATCGTACTCTATGTGGCCTTTTGTGTCTGGCTTCTTCCACTTAGCATCATGTTTCCAAGGTTCACCCACATTGTAGCACGTGCACCTCATTCATTATCGCCCGGTAATATTTTGTGGTGTGGATATACCACCTGTTGTCTGTCCATTCATCCGTCGATTGACCGTTGGGTTGTTTCTGATTTTTTGTTATTATGAGTAATGCTGCTGTGAGCATTTGGGTAGAGGTGTGTGTGGGCGTGTGCTCTCCATTCTCCTGGATAGAGGCCTAGGGTTGGAATTGCCGGTCCCGTAGTAACTAAGTTTAGCCTTTTGAGGAGCTGCTGCAGTT